ATGCCAAACCCCCCCCCCCCCCTTTCTCCCCTTCCTGCCTTCGTATGATGAGCCAGCCGGAAACTAACCTGCTTTCCCCCCCTTACAGTGAGAGAGCCGCCAGCCACCTGCAGCTGCTCTCCGATCTCTGCGACTTGACCAACCCCGTCTCCGCCCTCGGCTGGGTCAACTTTGACGACGGCATCGTCGGTCTCGCCGGTACCACCTCCAGTTTGATCGGTATCTACAACCAGTGGCGCAAAACGGCCTAAGTCAGCCCAAGTCCCTCGCCACCCTTCTTTACCAGACTCGCACACACACAAGGTCACGATTTCCACCAACATGTATCAACACCCTTCCTCCCCCGCGCCCCAAAGAGCTAAGTCCTTCCAAAATCGCCAACCAGCTCGCTCCTACAGTCTTGTGGACCTCGCACGTCTTCAGTGCCCCCTCGTCTACCACGGCTAGCTCTCACGTTCAAAACGTCAAAGTTGTCAGCTTCAGTCTATGTTGCAAGGTATTATAATTGCACGCGCTGCTTTTCAATTTAGTCCTTAGGATAATACTAGCAAGACAAAAAAAAAACAAAGAAAATTGAGCCCCGCATAACAAGCATCCATGTCCAAATATTGAATATTCAATTTGTATCCTCGAATCGCCCCAAGTTTGGAAGAATAAGAAGAGTAAAACATGCAAGAAAGAAATTGTGCTGAAAATATTGGCGTAGCATACATCAATCAGTCTCGATCGCCTAGACGTGCGTTGCACACATCATGTGGTTTCACCACCATGGAACTGGGCTGGGTGCTGTCGTGCTATTTTCAGGGCGCGTTCCACGATGCACCGCAACTTTCGCCCTTGCCTCACAAATACTCACCCCCGTCACGTCGTTCGTTGCTCGTTCTGTTCGCCGGCTCGGACTCGCCATAGCACCGCGAGTCATCTAGTAAACTCAGTGGTCAAGGATGGTTCCAACGGCAAAAACGTCAACCAGAAACACCAAGAGCATCACACAAGACAACAACTGGATCCGAGACACGACACAAGGAATAGGCCATGACACAAGGAAAAAGCATTTACCAGTAGCGTCCACCCCGGTCATAGTCCCGGCCATAGCCCCCATCCCTAGGGTACTGTGGCGGGCCTTCGCGGGGTGGGAAGTCTCTGGGAGGAGGAGGGCGGTCGTACGGGCGGCCACCATACGGGCCTTGGGGAGGCGCCGGTGGGTAGTCGCGACGATACGGCTCATCGTAGTGACTACGGGGTCCCTGTGGCGGGGGGTAGTCATCCATCGGACGCCGAGGGGGTGAATGGTATCCGGCTCTTTCCTCGTAGTAGTCTCGGCGAGGGCTGCGTTCGCGATATCCGTACGGCGGCTCTTCGCGACGCGGGGCGTAGCCTCGTGGGGGTGGTCCGCGACGATCATAGTCATCGAACGGCTGCATGTTATAAGGACGACGTCCAGGGGAGCGCGAGCGCCCACGCTGCCGGGAGGCAGGGACTTCGGCTTGAGTCTGCACCAATATGAGAATCTTGAATCTAATAGCAAGAGTTGGTGACTTACATCAGCGATGCACTGCACAACCTTGCCCTTGAACTCGAATCCATCAAGCTTCTCTACAGCGGTGCGCAAGTCGGCAGCATTCTCGTATTCAACGAAGCTAAGTCCTGATTAGTCAAGAAGCTAACCAGTGCATCCCAAGTCTCTTACCCTCTGCCCGAGTCGCGGGCTGTTTCCGAGTAGACAACATCGGGACCCGCCTGGCGCGCAAAGTCCTTGAGATCCTATATCCAGAGTCCGTGTAAGTGCCCGGTCAGGTGACGGAATGACGAGTGTGAGCAAGCATAGACGGGACGGTGCAAGACTTGGTCCGGCGCCGATGTGCGGCCGGAAAGGGCCAGGGCATCGCGTCCGAGGCGGCGGAGAGTGTCATCAGTGAAGCCGGGCAGTCCCATGGGAGGGGGCGGGAGTGTCGTCCTTTAATGATGCAGTGTTTCCAGCCAGTGCAAGTTCACGAGCCGAGTTCTCTCGAAGGGAAATCAGAGAGAGTACGTCCTAGAGATCCTAGAGCGGGTGTGGGGACGAGCGCAAAGAGATGGGAGACAGACCTGCCAGCTGGTTTCGTTGGGGAGTCCGGTAATGGTCATGCGGTGTATGGTTCGTCGGGGCCGTGGAGGGGCTCGCTCATGATGGCCGCCGCCGCCGTACCCAGGTGGTTCACGGGGGCGAGGGCCGCGGGCAAATTGGACGGTAAGTCGGGTTCCCTTGAAGTCAGATCCGTCTAGGTGGTTGTTAGCTAGAGCGGCTCCGGCCGGCGGCAATGCGCTTTGCATAGGTTGAGGTTGTCCACGTACGAAAGGCTGATGAAAGAACGCAAGAGAAATATCCAAGGTTAGCTGAATCGTGTCGCAAAACATTTGACGAGGGACGTGCTTCCTGTCCAGCAGTGGCATGGATTTTGTTGTCTCTCGGTCGGGTTGCAAGCAGGCGCCACTAACCAGGAACGACGTCTCGGGCATCCATGGGATCCTTGTATTCGATGAAGCCGAAGCCATGCATGAGCTTGACCTCTGTGATTTCTCCGGTGCCGTGCGTGGCAAAGTGCGCCTCAATATCGGCCTTGGTAGCTGCAGCGGAGGGGCTCGTGTCAGTAGATGCGGTCCGTGGAGGAGACAAGCAAAGAGTTCAGAAGCCGAACGGTGGAGAGAGAGATGGACCATTTGGAGGGAGGTTTCCCAGATAAAGCCGGGTATTGGAAACCTCGTTAGACATGATGGGCAGCTTGGGGCAAGCTGTTGCGGCAGCGGCGGCGGATGGCAATGACGGGTTGGTGGACCAGCCTAGAGGATAAGGGTACCAGAGGAGGAGGGGGATGCGATATGGGTGCGAGAATCCGGAGGGGTTCGCAGGCAGATGGAAAAGAGAAGCAAAGAAGTCTTGTCCAGATGGGATATGATGTATCCGGAAGGGGCGCGACCAGAGGAGGGGAAAGGAGCTTTTGTTGTTGCGTCCTGAAGGTGTGTCCTGTAGGTGTGGGCGGGTTGCAAATCCAGACAAGACAGACAGACGAGGCGGAGAGAGGAGAGGAGGCGGTCGGCGGGGGGGGAAGAAGGGGAGACAACAGATGCAGGACTGCGGTTGCTGCTGGCGGGCAAGGCAGAGACAAAAACGGCGGCGAACTCAGAGCGAACTCAGAGGAGAAAAAAAAAGCCCAAGCACCTGCAACCTGCTGCACATGCACCTGCACCCTGCACCTGCAACTGCAACTGCAACAACAATGAAAATCCCACTCTTTCTCTCTGGAAGGCTGGCCTGGGGCCGGCCGTTATACGCTGGCAGCTGGCAGCTGAGCACCTCCTGTCTCGCCCCGGAATGAGCACGCGGGATGCACTGCAACCCAACCTTCCGCCTCTAATAACCTCCCTCCAACCACTGCCTGCCAGACAAGCTGTGTGCGACACCGTTGAATTGCCTGCCTCTACCTACCTATGTACCTACCTACCTACTTACATAGGTACCTCGCACCACTCTGCAGGAGACATGCCCGATGTCGTCGTCTACTCTCCGTCTGCAGCCTTCTTCTTTTCCTGTCACTTCTCATCAACAGGTTTCAGCGAGACAAGGCCGGCACGCAGCCTGAACGCGACCCGCGAAAAGGGCAGAAAGGGGGCCGTTCTGCTCTGGGGCGCAAGAGCTCGCCGCCCCAGAAACTTTTTTAACTTATTAGCGGATTTAGTGGTCGGGTCGCACATCCGGGCCGCTTCAAGTGGCCTGTTATAGCGCCCCCGTAGCGGCTTGTAACTTATTAGAGTGGTGCTCTCAAACAGAGGTCCTGTTCTCTCCTCTTTGCCAAATAGGCATTTGAAATTGAAAAGCAAAATACTAGAGGAAGATCTTTGTATCCCCCTTTTTCTCAGGCATCAATAAGCCCAGCCAACTCATTACCTATCCGCCTCGCGGCCTGTCAAAGGTGGTGGCACCCTAGCCACCGCACCTATGTATGTATGTACCTGCCCTTCGCCTCACTTTAACCGCCCGGCCATTCTCTCTCTACCTATCCCTTGTCGCTCCTGTCTCAACATCACCCTTTGCTTTCGCGCCATTGTGTTCTCATCAAGTTCAATTCCGTGTTTTTCTGTTTCGTCTTCTATTATTTCTTCTTCTGCCATTACTACGGGGTATCCACCTTCGTCCACCACGCTCACCGACTGCCTATACTCTCCACCAAACACCGTGCCCTCATAAGATCTCACATGTCTCGCGTGTGACTGCCCTATCTGCAGACTCACAGTTCAGTTTCCCGTCTTATCACATCATAAATCATCGTCAAGTAGTATCGCAATCATCTCGTCGAGCACTGTAAAGGCCAAGTGCGCACTAGTATCAACATCAGTTAGCCAACGTCCCTCAACCTTGACATCGCTTGTGCTTACTTGAGTCTCGCATTGTTAAAGGTAGCAAATAATCGTCGACTTGCCGCCTGCGCATTCACGCGCCCAACTACGTTGCCTGCCAGATCAGGCAGCAGCGTTGCCAGCATGAGGCTCGCCTCCGTCCGCGTCTTCCTCTTTTCCGGCGCACTTCGCGCCTTCTTGTCTCGTACCAGTTGTCCGTTCGGCCACATGTTGTCCCGAAGCAGCGCAATGTACCGTAACAGCGGCTCTTCTTGCACCAGATTCTTGAAGGTATCTCGTACTTTGCGTTCAATGGTACCTCCCAGTAGCTGCTGAAGCACCACGACTACCGCTCTGCCTCGCAGCCAATTATTACCGCGGTTGAGTTCAAACACTTCCAAGAAAATGTCGCAGATGGGTTTGATAAAGGGCTCCAGCTCCTTGCTCTCAAATGCGTTCAGCTCTGCTTCTGCTTCCGCGGCCGGGAACGACTCTTCGTTAGAGTGCAACGAGACCGAGTTGCGCTGACTTGTCGCGGCCGCAATCAAATTTTGTCCAGCCACTGAGATCTGATCCAGCACCGGTATATTCCCCAGTATATCTTCCATACCATCTGTAACAGAATCGTAGAGTCGGCTTACAATATCCTTTCTGTCCTCTCTGTCGAGCAGGTCCTCGCCCTGCGTGATGGCGCTCTCGGACAAGAACGCACGTAAGTCACGGCTTCGGCAGACATCTGGCAGCAGCAGAAGCTCTTGCAGATACTTTTCCAGCGCAACACGTCTTTTGCGTAGGAATTCGCTCTGGAACTTCATCACCACCCTCCTACCTGGAAAGTCAAGGTTTCGCACAGAAGGGTATCTAGATCGCAGCTTCTGGTGGAGATCGTGGAACTCGCTGTATCGGCGCGCGACGACCCATGATGCTGCAGGCATCTGCTCGCCCGCATCACGCTGCACTTCAATAACATACAGCGCAAATTCTCGACCATCCTCTTCACGCCCAACTTGAATGGACTTGATTTTGATGGTTGACCGCCCATACAGACTGTTGTCGCTCTCCTGCACAACGTATTGCTGACGCTGAAGCTCTTTGCGTCTGATTTCTCTCTGCAGACTCGCTTTCGACTTTGATAAGATTCGTAGCTCGGCAGTATTGTTCGTCAGTTCCGCCTTTCTTGTCAGGGAATCCACAATGGCTTCTTGTGCTGCCAGGCGGTCAATGTCATTCGTCAGCACTGTGATTGCCTCGGCAAGACCAAGGTCTCCTGGCGCCGCAGCATGGACCTCATCCTCATCCTCGATATTATAGTCTTCATCCGTGTCGTCCTTCTCATCTGACAAACGTCTATCTTCGTCTCCAAATAGGTCGTCGTCTACAAAGACACCAATTCGCGAGGCGGCACTCACGAGGCCCAGAGACGATAAGCTTGGCTTTTCCTCTTTGCCGGCACTTGGCCGACCGCCATCCAGAGACCCGCGATTCGAGTCCTCGTCATCTCCAAAGAGTCCCCCAGAGCTAGCTCCTCCAAACCGTTCATCACTAGTGAAGAGCGAAGCGCGCAAGTCTGCAGCTGTTTGGGGGCGGTCATCCTCCATGATAGTGTTCAAAACTTTTTCGACAGCTTGAACTGCCTGCGTATCAGGTCTGGAGTGAGAATCGTCTTGTTCAATGTTAGGATTTGAGTCGGCCATATTGTCTTGCTCGAGTTCGTCATCGTCGAACAGAGGATTACTGGCATCTTCGTCCAGCGACCTTCGAGAGGCGGCCAGCGGGTCTAAAGCATCGCTTTCGCCTAAGTTGGCTCTAAGATCTGAGGCTGAGCCGGATCTTCGTGAAATTAGGTTAAGACGCGCCAATGATTTCGGCTTGGGTGTTCTGCCATGCGGGCGTCCGTTCGACTGGTGCGGTGAGCCCACGTCTAAGGAGGACAGAGCCATAGGTGCTGACTGCGCAGCAGTCGTTGTTTCTTGCGACGCCAGACACTTGTAATACAGGTCTGACTTTTTGAAAGCTTGAAAATACTGGTTCTTCATTGTTTCCAAAGCCATACTCTGCACTTGCAGTATCGATCTGCGCGCCTTGAAGTATTGTGCTGGCGTGGCAGTCTTGCCTGCCTGTAAGAACTGCTTGACATTGGTCTGTGACGACTCAGGGACTTTAAGCTCTGACTTGGACAAGTAGGCCTGTTGGATCTGGCGTAGGTCTAGTCGGTCCGAGTCTGTCCACATGGGCAGATTGGAGGGCAGAGCTTCGTTATCAGGCCCGTCATCTTCAAGGGGGTTTCGGATGCCATCCACCACCAGCCAGAACTGCACGAGGGTCATCATCTTTTGGCGATCCATAAATTCCATGAAATAAGAAAGGCCGGCAGAATCTCGCAGGAGTTCTACCAGCCCAGCATTCTCAAGCCGACTTGCAGAAGCCGACTTGGCCATTCTTGGGGCACTTGAAGCGGGAATGTGGCCACTTCTCTCTCCCCCAGCCGCCAGATGGGCCACTCGCTGGTCCAGCAGCCGCTTGCCCATTCCTAGTCGGCGCAGGTAGACCTGATCGGGGTTTTCTTCGAGCGAGTCTCGCTTGAGTTGGCTGGCTACATCGTTGCGAAAGCGCCGGGCATCTGACAGATTATTGACTTTCCGGATCGCGCGAATAAACTTTTCAAATCTGCGCTCGCTATCGCCTGGTGATATGCGGGGAGCTGCGGACGCTTTGATGGTACGGGGTGCTGGCGAAGCATGTTGATCGAGGGCAGCTCTCAACTTGCGAACTGTAGATCGATCTTGTAACATTGAACGTCCCATATTTTCCATAATTTGATTCCAAGTATCTGGCTCGGACAGAAGTTGCATGACAGGTGAAAGAACAGCACAGCTGACTATTTCTCTGACAATGATGGACACAGCCCGGCTCGACAACATATGCCGAGGCATAAGTTTGGGCAGAACGCGAGCTATAAGACCTCTGAGATAGTCTTGCTGAACCATTTTTGTATCCGGGAAAGATAATGAAGCTGCGGGGTGAAGCCTTCCATTGTTATATTTGGCGGCGATAGCGAGATCCAGCTCGTCCGACTCGGTGACCGATTTGTTTAATTTCTTGCCTCGGATAGATCGCTCCGCCTCGTAGAAATCTCGAAAATGCGCCGTCACTATCGGCACGACCCTGCTGATCACGAGCTCGACCAGGTCCTTGTCGCGAAGGCAGTCGAGCAAGCTTATAATCGCCGAGCGAATGGCGCGATCGACCTCGTCGGGAAACTCTGGGTTCGGGCTGATGTTTTTGTACCATACATTGACAAAGTCGCGAAGAATCAGGTTGAGCAGGTTATCGACGGCCATGGCGACGCGCTGCGAGGGCAGGCCCAGCGAGGGGCGCTCGTACGCCTGGCGTTTGCGCAGCGCAGCCACCTCGTCGCGCCAGCGCTGGGGGCCTAGGAAGAGGGCGGCTCGCGGCCTCGGTCGGCGGTTGTCTGGGCTGCGCGCGAAGAGTAGCAGGGCGGCGAGAAGGGACACGAGGCCGACGAGGAGGCCGCCGCCGAAGGCGTAGCCCGCCCAGCGGAGGGCGCTGAACCAGCTCACGACGTAGCCCCAGGCGATGAAGGTGACGACGCCTGCGACAATCGCATCTCGGCGCTGCAAAGCCATGGCGGCGGCATAGACGAAAACACGGAAAGTAGACCGCCCGGCAAGAATCCTAAAAGATGAAATGCGGCATGACGATGTAGTTGGTCGAGTATCATTTATCGGAGGTAGAAGAAGGAGGGCGTGGCAGCTACCTACATAGGTACAAGGTATGTACATAGGTAGCTCTAGGTCCTGGTAATGAGGAGCTCACATGCGTAATGGAGGCAGGTGGTGCTATCGATTAGGCGGTCTGTTTGCATTGGTACTTGTTAGTGGTGTAAACCCCCCGAAGCTTTTACCACAACGTCATTTTTGTCAAGTTCAGATATATGTGTGTTGGGCCATGAAGGCTCAGAAAAACGAAAGGAAGCAATATATACCTAATTAATAGGAGAGCGTATATGCAATGACTGATGATTTATTCACTGTGAGGCAACGGACGACCTCCACTTACGATGGTAGCCCGTACGGGATACCGCAAGCTGCAGACAACACGGCCTGTATGGATGTTGGAGTTAAAAACAAAAGTAGGACTAAAACCGTAATCGAATCGTCTTCCAGGATAAAGGTTAGTTCTTGTAATGCATTCTTCTTCTTACCATTACCCCCGCCAAGGTCTTGGTTGAGCCATCAGAAATGGTCAGGTAATATGCGTGACGTACTCACCTCTGCGGAGACTCACCTCTGCGGAGATGAGATGTGCCACTTTTACCAAACAAACAAACAATGGAAATCAAGCAGACATGGATGTATACATCAAAGTACTAGAAAGAAATTAACAGAGCTTTTCTGAAGGAGCACATAGAAGTTGGCGAGTTAAAATAGATGCTGGCTAGGATCTTCAGTATTAAGAAGGCGCAACCTACCCGATCCAAAGAGGACTAGGCTCCGCCTCAGAGCGACAAGGCGGAGACTAGTCCTCTTCAAGCAAACCCGCGCCAGAAAGTACAGCGGGCGGCCCGGAGCAGAGCGACGAACTTACACACCAACGCCTGCATATATCCCAAGCCCGTTCTTTTTCCTCCCTGGGATGCAAGGTTCATGAAGCATGCGCCAGACTCTTCGACGGTCCTGTGGCGCCTGTGCGCGCGCAAAGAGCCGCTGCGACCTACGCAAACCCCACTGCTCTCGCTGCGCGGCTCGCGGCACCGCCTGTGTCTACGCCAACGAACCGCTCTCTTCCACCACACCATCGCCGGCGCCGGCGCCGTCATCGTCATCGTCGGCGGCGGCGTCGCCCGACCCGCGGCGCCATCGGATATCCGGCTTCGGCTCCGTCGACCCGTTTGAGACGTACCCCCACGTGCGGCTCGACAAGGAGCACGTCCAGCGTCTAATCCACAGCTGTACGTTGATCGCACCCCCCATGCCCGCCCCATGCCGCCGCACACAACACACACAGATCACGCCCATGCTCACCGCCCAGAGGAGCAGTCCTCCACAAGATCGCGTTCCAATACTACCCGCTGGACCGCAGCGCCTGCTCGAACCCGTTCCTCGTGTCCTGGTGGCCGCTCGCCCTCGGCGACCCCGTGCTCTTCCACGTCTCCCTGCAGACGGCCTGCCTCGACGAGGAGTTCTTCGGCCGCCGCGGTTTCCACACCTCGGAGCAGCTCATGGCCGACTCGGTCGTGCTGCTCCGGCGAAAGGTGCAGGACGTCGCGCTGGCCATGCAGGACAGCACCATCAACTCGGTCATCACGCTGGCCACGATAGAGGTAAGCATGCTCCGTCTTTTTTGTTTTTTGTTTTCGTTTGACGCAGAAAATGGCCAGGTGGGTGAATTGAAAACTTACAGAGGTGAAACAGTATGGAAAGAGCAACATAGAGACGGCGGAGATGCACGTCGAGGGCGCCAAGCGGTTGATGGACATGCGCGGCGGTTTCCAGGCCGTCATGCAGACCAGCCCTCTGACGGCGCGCATGGTCAGCTGGTAAGGACACGTATCTTGTCAAGAAAGCCCACCCTGAAACTGACGGAGAGACGACAAAAGGGTATCGATGCTCATCACGGGCGTGCCCCAGTTCGACACCCAAGACGACGACGGCAACGGCGACGGCATCAGTCCCATCCCGGAATGGTCCGCCACCCTCTCCTCCGAACACCTTCCTACCGCCCTCTCCGAAGCCGACGTGGCCCCCGAGACGTGGAACGTCTTCGCGCGCCTGTACGGCGTGTTCCGCCGCCCGCACGCCCCCCCGCTCGCGCCGCTGCGCCTGCACGAGCTCACCTGCTTCGTCGTCCACCGCCTCCTCTCCGCCGAGTCCCCCTCCGCGCTCTCCGAGTGCGTCCGCTGCGCCACCATCCTGTATATGCTGATCCTGCAGGGGCCCATCTACTACTCGCACGCCGCGATGCAGCACCGGACCGCCGCCCGGCTCGTCGCGCACCTCCCGGCTTCCGCGGCCTCGGGCCCGCTGAGGCTCTGGCTCGTCGCCGTGGGCCTGGTGGCCGCGCACGGCGCGGCGTCGCCGGCGGTATACGAGGCGCTGCGGGAGGAGGTGCGCGCGCTCGGCGCGGGCTCCTCGTGGGCGGAGGTCGCGGCGGATGTCAAGGGCGTCTTGTGGCTGGAATCGTCGGCGGCGGTGGCGCCGCACGCGGAGCGCGTCTTTGAGAGTCACTGGGACGTCGCGCTCGGCCGCCGCGGTGGGCAGCCGGCGGCGTTGGGCCCGGCGCAGATTGCGCCGTTCGAGGCGGACAGTCTGGAGACGAGCACGGACTTGGCGCAAAGGTAGCAATAGCAGCAAGCTTAGACAAAGCAAGGCATCAGCAAGTGCAAGATATCCAATCCGTATTTCCGGCGTAGATATACTGCTGTGGGCTAACATAGCAAGCGATCGTCTTAGGAATGTTTGTGCTTAGTATTTACTATATTCTGGGGAGTGAGTGCCTCTCTCACCCTCGAATATCGGTAATCAGGATCAAGAGAGGAAGCAAACACCAACCGTAAGAAACAACCTAATAAGCTATGTACTCTTCACTAGCCACAACAAACAAACCCCCACCTATGAAAGGCAAGCGCCCAAATGAATAATGTCGAAGAAGAAACCAAGTCAATGCCGCCCAAGTATGGTATACCTTTCCACCTCATGCGTTGATAAAATACACATTGTTGTACATGGGTACACCTAATCCATCCCGTGGTCCTTAGCTAAGGACCGTCCAACCCACGACCCTTCGTCCACCTCCATCCCGACCTGAAAAAGAGAAAGGTTCAGCCAAGTGCCAAGTGACATTGAGTCTCATGTTCCATTTCAACGTCAACCGAATACCCCCTACCATCCTTCGCCCAGTGATACCATTTGTCAAAGCCTAGCCAAACTCCGACCAAATTCAAACAAAGAATGAAAAAGAAAGGGCCCATAGCAAGTCGAACAGAGAGTCCTTGGTGTCTAGTAGCCGGCCAGCTTGGTTGCTCTCATTTCTGGAGAACAGGTCTCTGAGCGACATACACTACCGTTCCAACCTGCGCAGCCGGTCGGACTATGGTTGGTCCTTTCGAACAATACTATGCAGTGGCAACCTCGTGAACAAACGACAAAAGACGCCGGAATTGAGAGCTCGCCAAATTTGCCATTGGCCTAGCAGATATCTGCGAGGCATCCATCCATGAACGAAAATATCTTGCTGATGAGTGAGCAGACAGTGTAGTTTGACTTGTCGCCCCCAAACTCACAGTACTTGCAGCGCTGATGCCACGAGTAGAGCCGGTAATGATGATGCTGAAGTAACAAATGTCGTAATCAAACCCATGGTTCCGTTTTTAAAACTCCGACGATACATTGCCAATGATGAAAATCAACTTTTCGCCGGTTCCCCGTAATCGCCTTTTGAAATGCATAATGAAAGCAGCTTGCTGCGTTCGTGGTGTTGTTAGCATGCGCACAGCGTGCGCGTTCTGTCCGTGCGGTGTCTTCACATGCCCGAGACGCCCGAGTTATTAGGGTCGCCGACATTATCAGAGAGGTTTATGAGCAGCTGGGCGAGGCAGCGCTTAGTAGCCGCGTCATCGCGTAAAACGGACGAGAATGTGGCGTCGCGAAGGGGCTCGGGGAGGCACTGGCGCAGGGCTTCGCGGGCTCTGGCGTTATCGCTTAGGCTGGTTGAGTCATGTTAGCATTCGAAGAGATCGTGCACCTATCCAGTGTGAGGTAATGATGATGGACGTACCGAAGGAAACAGCGGACAACGTGCTTAAGCAGACGCGCGGTTTGGGACTCGACAAGCTGGGCGACCATATTGCTCAGCACGGTGCCGACGGCGTAGAATCGCTCGTAGGTGGCGCAGATGTAGTTGAGACCGTTGTCATCGAGGAGTATCTTCTGGACAATAAAGATGGCAACAGTCTTGCTAAGCTCTGAGCCGGTCTCCATGATGCGGAGGCAGAGGGGGATGATTTCGGTAGTCAGCAGAAAGTTGATGACCTCGGTGGAGTCGTTCTTGACGAGCGCGCCGATGACGCCGAGGCTGGTGAGGCGCAAGTACTCAAACGGCCGCGACTTGGACGTGGTGTTGAGGAAGGGGTAGAGGAAGAGCGGGATGTGGGCGTTGAGGAAGAGGGCGCGCGTGTCGTTGTGCGACGCGACGCACTGCAGCAAGGCGAGGGCGTTGCAGACACGATTCGAGGCCGCGGCCGTGAGCTGCGACGGGTTAAGCAGCGTGTATACGGAGATTATTTCCTGCAGGAGCGAGGTCATGACGCCAAACGAGTGCCACAGGATGAGGGCGAGCTCCGGCACCTGCTCTCGCTTCTTGCTAAGTTCGAGGAGGGCGGCCTCGCGCGTGTTATCGTGCAAGAGATCTGCAATGTAGGCCATGGTGCGGCGATTGTCCTCGGAGATGTGCTCGTGGCTGTTGTCCTGCTGGCTGTGCACGAGAGCCTGGCTACCATTGTTGGCGTGGTTGTTGGATGCGAGGCGGCCATAGTGCTGCTGCTGCTGCTGCTGCTGCTGCTGCTGGGCTTGCTGTTGAGCCTGCTGCGCCTGCTGCGCCTGTTGCTGCTGCACAGTTGATGCGCTGCTGCTCTGCTGGGGATGCTGCTGCTGGGGGTGATGGCCAGACTGCTGATGCATCCAGGACGACTCAGCTTGGTGTCCAAACTGGTGGTGTCCGTAGCTATGCCCCGAGGGCATCATGGTGGGCTATGCTTCACTTGGAACGAGGAAGCTCGCAGGCGAGTTTTTTTTCTTCTCGTGAGCCGAGGGCGATTCGCTTAAGAGAGGCAATTTGGTCGAGGGCGAGGGTGTTTTGTGTGGGTTGTCGATATGGGCTTGCGACTGGAGAGTAAGGCGGGGGGCGTGATGCTTTTCGTGTTGCGTGGCTCGCGGTTGTTGAGCGGCACCGGGTCGACAGTCGGTGGTCGGCAATGCGCGGCGTTAAATAGACGAAAGGAGTAGGCGCGAGTTTGAGGTAACCGACAAGTTTTCGAGATGCGCCGCCAGATGTGATACGGGTTGATGGCGAAGCCAATTTCCAACGTATTGGGGCCGTTGTGTGGTCGGGGCAGCTACCTGGTAATGCTACTGTAGCCAAGGTAGTCAGGCTTGGGAGGAGGACGAGCCAGGGCGGAAAGAGCTGGCAGAAGCCTTCTCGGGGGCTGCGAGGGAGGAGAGCGAAAACCGGATTGGCGGCAGCCTGAACTTGTGGCTGTGTGCACGGGCCAAGCGTGTGTACTGTGTCACCAAAATGTGGTGATAAGGTACAACATTTTGTTCAGTGCGCATGACTGGCACACCATGCAGCCCAGCGACAGAGGCCGCAGAGGAGCATCGCCTTAGAAGTTTGCAGCTTCGCTCTGCCTATATCGAGGCTGCCAGACCAAACCTTTCTTCTGATTGGCTAGAAAAGCCAGCACTCACCAACACTGACCAGCCAAACTTGACGCCAGTGGCTGCTGGCCTAGCGCATCTTGTATATTTCGACTCTGGGGCTCGCGAAGAACACTGAGCTGCCTTCCTAAATTGATGACCAGCTTTTCTGTGTTGACGACACCTCTTCTCTTCGCACCAGGACACATCTTGACTCGAAAAAATAATTCTTCCGTATTAGAAACTACCTGTGCTAATGCCAGACGATGATTACCCCTCTTTTCCCAATTCAAGTAATTCAAAACCAACCAAAAAAATACGTATTAAAAAACTCGAGCCCCCTCGCTTGGGCAGCCCAGGCAATAGTCATGACTGTTATCCAGTATGCTCAAATGCATTTTGCGAATAATATTTCCGGTATTGCTGCTGCGTCCTGTTCTGCAGCTCAATGCGTGCTTGTACATAAAGTCCTCCTGGCAGTTTCCACAACACAAAAGAAACCCCTTCGAGAGGTCTGGCTCTCCATCAACCACCATGTACCAAAAGAAAAACGCCTATCTCCTAGCATTTATAGTTTCAGTTCTTTCAAAATCTGGTCCGCCATGTTCTTGAATTGCCACGTGTTGCCTTCCATGCGCTTAAACTGAATGCCGTGTAGTGACAACAGCGGCACCTTGACAATAAAGATTTCGAATTCCAAAATCATGCTGCCACCCAGATCGCTCTGCACCTGCGTGCTCGTTTCTCCGGGCGCCCGTCGTGACGTTCCTCCATTCCGGCGCGGAATGCTATCGATTGACGTTTCGGAGTTGGAGTAGCTGCGCTCTCTGTCGCTCCTCTCTCGGTCACTGCGATCCCTGTCAGAGCGCACAGGCGTTCTGGGGGTCAGAGGACCACGGTCAGAGTCATCTCGGTCGTCCCCACGACGCAATCCTCCAAAACTGAAGCGTCGCCGGTGGCCACTCGATTGCCCGGCAGCCGTACCAGGAGGATCTTGCACCTTGTTCAGGTCAATGCTTGGCGAATGCTGGCAGCTAAAGCCACCCTTGATTTCGATGTACTCGACGTTCAACTGATGGAGCACCCGGCGTATTTCGGCTCGGATTGCAGGGACCGATTTGCCTGATGTGGTCGACACGCTGAACAGACCCTTCAAGAAGACAGGCTTTGCCAATTCACTAGTTGCCAGCCGTTCCGTAGACTGCCCACTCTGTTCGACCTCGCCGTCCGTTTCTTCAGGCACGTTGGATTCCATGGCATTTTCTCGTCGTTTTCGGCGGCGCTGAACGCTCTCTCGGCGGGCATGGCCGAGAGATTTGGCTCGCATGGTCATGGACTGTGAGTGGCCATGTCCCTTGTGGCCACTTCTATCATTCTCCACGGATTGGTCACTGCCGCTAGTAACAGCCTGCTCACGAGCTGCCCTTGTTACCTCACGACGACGCGTGTCGCCCGAGTTGACGCTGGTTGAGCGCCCGAGTCCGGATTTACTAGATCTTCCCCCCGCGGATAGCGGCGGGCTGAGAAGTTCCTTGTGATGGGGCTGGCTTCCCCCTGAACGCAGCTCCTCTGGATCAGGGCGCGATCGACGCATGCTGAAGCTCTTCCGCGGTGCCATGGGCGCTGCCTCGGAAGGAGAATGAACGTGAACCATAGGGGGGTGGGAGCGATCCCTTTCATGGCGTTGCGGGTCTCGACGCTTTCGCGTGCTGAAGCGCCGCAGAAGACCGGCTGCTGTGCCCTCCTTCTTGGGTGCAGGCTCCGGCTTATCCTGTGGCTTCTGCTGCTTGACAATCTCAGGCTCGTCATCCTCGCCATGTGTTCTCGCCCGTGGTCGTGTGCGCCCGCCAGTTGGTTTCTCACCGGGCATCTCGAATGCAGCAGCATTCGTGTGCGCCGCCTTGGGCGGTGCGAGTTCAGGCATGGCTTCGACAGGACGGTCATGCGCATCACGATCGCGTTCCCTTTCTTTGTCTCGCTCGCGTTCACGTTCACGTTCACGCTCGCGCTCCTTCTGCTTCTCTTTTTCTTTGCTAGACGCGGGTGTCTGCGTGAGCAGAGTTTCTTGCTCTCTCGATTGCTTCTCCCGTACAAGATAGTAGACAGACAGTAAGGGGCTGAAGGCATTGAGAGGGTCACTACCCAGCTGCAGCGCGTCAGAGCTAGAGTGTGTCAACGTGTCGCGGCTCGCAGAGCCGGAGTTTCGTCGCTTATAGAAGTCAAAGCCAAAACTCTTCTTCTTTTCCACTTCAGGGGTCTGTTGCGAGATCTTCCTTTCCCGATAGTACAGCCTGCAAGCCTGTTGGTATTCCTCCGACTCGATGATTTTAGTCAGCTGCGCGTTGATGCTCTCTGGAGAGCCAAAGTTGAAGCCCTGCATGGCGTGCATGACCTCGGGCTCCAGGGGCAGGGTCACAGGTTCCCGAATAGGTAGGTAATTGTCTGGAGGTCCGCTGTAGCCCTTGAGCATCCAGGGATGGATCATGACTTCTTGCATGGTCGCGCGCTGCTTTGGGTCTGTGACAAGCATACGGGACATCAGATGTTTGCATTCTGTATCGTTGGTCAGTAAAGGCAAAGTGCTGGGCGAAAGGAGAAATTGGTGCAGGCATACCGCTTGACAGCCAGCTGGGGTAATCCACAAGGCCCTTCTTGATCTTGGCGTGAAGCGCGGGCATGCTGTGGTCATCGAATGGTACCTTGCCACAGACAAGCACGTAGAGTACGATACCGAAGCTCCATACATCGACTTCTGGCCCAGTGTACGCTCTTGCTTGAAGGAGTTCTGGAGCAGCAAAATATAAACTTCCGCAGAACGTCTTCAAGTGGCCGCGGGGAGCAAAGAGATTGCTCAAGCCAAAGTCAATAATTTTTATGTCGCCAGTCTTGCTGATAAGAATGTTCTCGATCTTGAGATCGCGGTGGACGATGCTGTTGCGGTGACAGTAGTCGAGGGCGCTGGCGATTTGACGGCTGAACTTGCGGGCCTGCTTCTCCTTAAGCTTCCCGTGTGAGATGATGTAGTCGAGCATCTGGCCTCCATTGACAAACTCGAAGAGCATGTACCAGTGGTAATTTGTACGCACGACATCGCGCAGACCGCAGATGTGGGGATGGTTGAGAAGGGTGACGATGGCAGCTTCACGGGCGGTACGAATTTCTTTGGAGTGGTCGGCGCGCTCTTTATCGGCGCGGCTCTGATGATTATCGTCGGTCGAGCCACGTGGAATGATTTTGCAGGCAACCTGTGGTTGGGGCGGCCAAGGTTAGTTGTCGTGTGGGGTTGGTGATGGGCACGCATGGTTGGGCTTGGGGGGGAATAGGGGCAGGGACGAACCTGTTCGCTGCCGTCTTCTTTGCGGGCAAGTTTTACCTTGCCCATGCTGCCGGCGCCAATGGTCTTTCCAAGAATCCATTTTCCAGACTGCGTAGGGATGGTGGTGCGCGAGCGCGATTGTTTGGTAGCATGGGATGAGGACTGGGCGTCGGTGCCCGCGTGCGAGTGCGAGTGCGAGTGCGAGGAGCGGCCGTGGGAGGAGGACGGTGGCGCGGCATTTGCCGCAGCAGCAGAAGGCATATCGGGGGAAGGATGGGAATGGGGATAGCTAGAGCGAGAGCTGCTGCGTCGGTGAGGGCGGTTGGCGTCGTGGCCCCTGGGAATCTCGCGGCTGGGACTGCGCTTGGGGTGGGAGGCTATGCGCGTCGTGTCGTAGTCATGTTGCGGCGGCGGAACCTGGTGGCCGGAGGAGCGGTGGGAGGAGACGCGGCGATGGTGTTGGTGCTGTTGTTGGTGGTGGAAGTGTGAGCGCTGATAGCTGGCAGAAGCAGGAACAGAAGCAGAAGCAGGGCTGGATGTGGCCGATGTGGTAGTTGGAGGACGTGAAGGGTGTGATGGATCTTTGCGGGTGGAATATGACCGGGATGGTGGCGCCCGCGAAGGTGAAGCGTGCGAAAGATCGGAGCCTGGGGGCGCTGTCGTCGTCATGATGGGCCTCTAGCGGAGGAGGGAGAGAGGGAGGGGAGGGGGGACGAGTCGACGAGGTGGCTTGCTTTGGTGAGGCAGGGAATTGGAACAAAAATTATGGGGTGTGTCGAGAGAGATGAAGCCTGCGACGATTTGAACCTTCTTTGTTTCCTCCGTCACTCAGATAAGCTTTTTTTTTTGTCACTCTGGGCGAGGCGAGACGAAACGAGCGTTTAATGGTTTGTTTGCGACTCCGAGGTACCTGGGAAGGTTAGTACCGTTAGGTGCGTGGGTACCGCTGTCCACAGCAGCAGACAGGCGGTGTTGGAGGTACCCTCGGAAGTTCTCAGGCCTGAAGCCAACGACGAGGTAGGTAGTAGATGGCTGGCTACCAGTTGGCAGCGACAGCACCAGTGTAGCAAAATCCAATGTAGATAAGAGGGGCGATATGGCGACCGTCGCTGTTTTGTAGGTCTAGATGCATTTAGATTCTGCTTGTGATGTGAGAAGAATGGCCGAGTTGGATGCCGAGAAGTGGCATCCGTCACAGGAGGCTCCAACACGACAGGAGAGTTGGGAAGCACAGCAGAAAGCGGCAAGCAGGTACTGTACCTGGGTGGGTTGGGGCAGACGGGCAACGGGCAGAAGGCAACAACAAGGCGGGCAGGCACCTTCAAGTTTCCAGGTTCTTTGTTGTTGCAATTGCTGTTAATACAGTGGGCAATGTACCTGCCAAACTTGGCAACAAATCTCGCTCAGCGGCTGATGCGGGGCAGATGCCGAGCTCAGCTGCGAAATCAGACCCGTACTGGTACCAATCAACTTGGCAGGTAAATTGGACAATGGCAGAGATCTCAACTTGTGGAGTCAAATGAATTTCTTCATTTATTGCATGGTCTGTGGCCCGCAGGTGCTAGCTATCGACTCCTTGCTGTGACTGTGCGAGTGCCTACGAATGAGGTTGTTAAGCTAATCTGTACAGAAAGAAACCAATGTGACAGGGTTCCAGGTCCGACATGACATGAGCATCCGCCCAATCGACAATATAAGACAGACGGCAGCCTTGATGCCCGCTCCGAAGAGATTTATTAATAAAGGGGGCTGGTAGTCGGCCTTGAAGCGAGCGAGATGAACACTGGCCCAGGTATGTGTACATGCATAGATAGGTACGATACATACTGACAGTTATGCACATATATACAACACCAGAAGAAACCAATGCCAAGCCAGCTACCTACCTGCTGTAGGCATTTATGAACAAAGCTCTTGAACGAGCGGCCAGGTACTGATCCAGGTAGGTAGATATGTAGGTGCCGAGGTCCTGCTCTGTCCATTGTCTCTTTTCTCACCTCAGCTTTGCCATAGCACGTTGTCATCTCTGTGCGCGCCATGCAAATTGATGGCCCGGTCAATGCGCCCATCTCAACTGCTTGCTTCTCCCCTTACCCGGTACTGATTGGTGGTATGTCGCTCCGCTGCACGCTGCTGCAGGCAATCAACGCCCACCCATCTGCTGTCTTGACTTCGTGCATCAAGACTTTCATCCTCCAATTTGACGCCAGACGAATCAACTTGTAGCCCCTCCCTGCCTCATCCTTGCATTATGCCCAACCCAACAAGCCGTGGTTCCACTCGCTCCTCCAACGTGCATGTATCAGTACCACGAAATTCAAAAGCCCGAGTCCGAAGGGCTCCTAATCTGTAGTCGCTGTTATATCTCACCACTCTTTGTCGCAGGTTTTAACAATATTTGGCAGCGGATATATTTGGCAACTAACTCCGTGGTGACCGGTACACAAACAGCACTCCAGCGTCATGGGGCACGGAAACAAAGCGAGACATCGCTTTGCGTTTTCTCGCTGTCAGACTAGGGAATTATTCTCATGCATTGGTCGACAAAAAGACCCTGTATCAACGTTTGCCGGAGCGCAGTCAATTATACGAACTGATGTAGCACACAAGTTATTGGGCGGGTGCGTAATGGGAGGTAGTTAGGTGGCGCCGTTATCGATAAGGTTCCAATCCAGTCCCGCCAAATTTGGCTTCAACAACCACACTATAATCAACGACTGCTGACAAGACAACAGAAAAATAGATGACCTGAGACGTCTCCTCGCAAAGGGGCGGATAACCCCTACTTACAGGAGCCATGTCTACATACAAGCGCTCCCGCGCGACTTTCGAATCGGAGCAGCACGCGCCGTACGCCCTCTTCGGCACGCCACTCCCAGACGAAATTGAAGGACGCGACGATGGATCATATCTGCCCCTCTGGAAACAGGACGTACGAGATGAAAGAGGTAGAAAGAGGCTACATGGAGCTTTCACAGGTGGCTGGAGTGCCGGGTAAGAATATCTCATCACCACTGTTTGGTTGGAGAACTTATTAACACGCCGTGCCAGGTACTTTAATACAGTCGGTTCCAAAGAGGGTTGGACGCCTTCCACGTTCGTATCCAGTCGCAGTAACCGAAATAAATCCGATCAGCGAACCATCGAACAACGAGCGCAAGACTTCATGGATGATGAAGATCTAGCCGATGCGGCCGAGGCCCAGCAGCTCAAGACTTCACAAGCATTTGCGGGTTTCGGGTCCTCTGGTGATGCCCAAGAGAGTTCTGGCGGCTTGGATGGACTACTGAAGACCGAAGGCGATACCATGGGCTTGAAGCTGCTGCGCAGAATGGGGTGGAAAGATGGACAAGGAATAGGACCAAAAGTGCGGCGGACAGTGCGGCTGGAAAGCAACATTTCGTCCACGACAGATGATATGACGTATCTGTTCGCACCCGAAGATACGGATATGATTCGATTTGTACGAAAAATCGACCGAATGGGTCTCGGATATCAAGGTGAAGCAAAACTCAGTAAATCGCAACCCGAAACTGGTAGCGACAAAGACGACGATGATTTTCTCGGTCCCGAGAAACTCTCAACTACAAAGTCCCGGCCAAAGATCAGATCAAAAATGCAACGTGGTGGCATGGGAGTGGGCATCTTGAATGACAATGGGTCCGACGACGAAAATCCTTACGAAATGGGACCAAAGATCAGTTACAATCGCGTTCTTGGTGGCGACAAGAAAAAGAAGAAAAAGGCCACAGCAGCTGCTAACCCAGCACTTGGAACTGCTCCCGTTTTCTTACCAAAAGGAGCTCGCGCCGGTAGGAGCTTGCACCGTTGTCACGACGGTCGGCTGCCGCTTGACGGCTTTGTGCTGGCCAAGGCAGTGGACGACTTGACAGAACTGTTGTCCAAGTACGCGCCGCTTGCAGTCCCCGAAGGGTGGATTTCGGCAAACCCGGCGAGCTCTCGATCGAAAGACATCCACTACCAAACTGCAGCAGATGCAGCCAGGGAGTCAATGTTGGACCCCAAGTCGAGGGCAGCTATCCTCGGCGAGAAGGCTCTGCCGGGTAAGTCGGTTTTTGACTTCATTTCTGCAGCAGCACGGGATCAGCTCGCAGCGGCGTCTGGCAAGATCAATCTCCCTCCCGGCCTGGGCGAGGTTCCGGCGGAATACGCACTGTCCGTAGAGGAGAAATTAAAGGCGCTCTGGGAGCAAGTGCCCAAAGTGGATAAAGAGACGGCTATTGCAGCCATCTCAAGAGGAGTTTCTGGACCGTATGCCGACGATGAACGCAAAAGGAATCGTTACCGAGCGTATCTGGAGCATGGGGCGAACCAAGATCGCCCACTGCCTGCCAAGCCCGAAGGCTATGCCGACGACGACTACCTGCGAGAAATGACGGAGTTCTACAACTGCGCTCGAATATTTAAGCCGATGACAGGGTTTATGGCATCGCGATTCACTACGGCAAAGTCCCAACCAGGCGCAGCAGACACCAAGGGAAGCGACGTCGTGTCACAGCCAGAACCGGGTGTCACCGACCCTGCCGAGGAGGCAGCTAACCTTGGCATGTATGGCAAACTGACAAGATCGGTGCGAGACTTTTACCCAAGTCGACTGTTGTGTAAAAGGTTCAATGTGCGACCGCCGGCTCATTCGCAGCCAGATCATGATGATGCAAGCTCCAGAGCAGCAGCAGCAACAGGAGGAGCTGGCGTTGCTCACGAGCCAAGCAAACTCCTGCTATTGACTTCTGGAGGCGCAGGCGTGGCCCCTGGGCAGAATAGCGACACAGACATCCCCCCTGTCCAAGTCAACCCCGAGCCAGTCAAGATTAATCCAGAAAAGAACGAGGCTGTCGAGGCCAGTGCTGCAAGTCAGGACCTGCTCAAGGCAGTGTTTGGAGACAGCGACGACGACGAGGACTAGATTATTTAGATTTGCTATTTGACCGAACGATAGATACCCTGTGAATAAACATGAAGCGAAATAGCCCATCCGGTGGGTGGCAAGATGTAGTATTTGTCACCCGTTAGGTACCTTTGCCCAGTAGATATATAAGATAGCTCAGTTAATACCTAAGAAAGGTAATATACCTACCTAACAGGGGGCAAATACAGAGTGCCTCTCGTGGAGGTTGCAGGCGGCTGGAATAGTGCATCAAGATGCTACGATTGGTTGGCGCACTCTCAACATCACAGGGCATCACGAACCAGTCCACAGCGCTGAATCACCCCCCTGCAGCTCTCTAAACTTGGGCGAATTAGCGCCAGCCAAGCAAAATGAAGCTCTGGCAATCAACCAACCCCAACGGCCGGTTCGTTCCCCACCCTTGCCCGTTGTCACCCTCTCAGTCTCTCTCCTCTCTTCATTTCGTCTCTACCATCACCATCTGCCACCCCCAGCTTTTGAATCCACAAACCAGTCCTTCGTCGACCACTGACCATTGACCGGCTCATCTCGCCACGAAGCAGCTGTTTTCTGCCGATGCTGTTAGTCTAGGATAGCCTGACGATCGCAACATACCTACCCATCTATCTACCTCGTGTCCACCGCTACCTATTGCGATCCGTGCACGACCGACCCTTACGACTCGCATCCATTCATCTAGCCGGGCCCGGAGTCCAGCATCCATCCATTCGATAGCGAATCGCAGCTTCTCCCTTGCCGTTGCGCCTTTCTAGACAAACAATAGATAGCCCCTCGCTATTGCTCGATGACGATTTGATTCCGCTCGCCCCCTCCAACTGTCGCTCTCAAGGTTGATATCACGCCCCTTAGTTTTGTCGGACAACAGCACCTCACAGATACCGGTGCCCTTTTCTTGCGTGTTTTCGCCGTCGCACTGTTGCCGGGAAAACCGTACCTCCCATTGTCCTCCCGAGCCATCGCTGCGCGTCATCGATTAATCCGCCGCATTGTCTGCATCACAGGAGGCTGGAACTGGACCTTTAGCGTCCCCGGAGTCAGTTGAGACTTTGGTGCACCGCGAGCGCTGCGCCGCCGCCACCCACGAGAGTGCCAGCAAGGGAGCGTCCTCCCCCGACCACGACGCCGTCGAGCACTCGCCCCCCCCGCCGCAGTATCCCGTCTCCGAAGCTTCGTCTTCGTCCCGGCCGCCGCCCTTCTCCTCGCTCTTCGCGTCGGCAGAGCTCTCCCCCGAGCGACCGGCCCGTAAGTTCCATCCTGCCGTCGTCAGCCTAGCCGCTGCCTCTGCTTGCGAGGAAGCCACCGCCTCGGGCTCCGTCGCTGCGCCGGCCTACTCGTCCAGCCTCGAGGAGTCTACGCCGTTTGACCCCGACCAAGGCACCGGACGAGCGTTTCAGGACCCTGTCCAGGAGACCAAACGCGCGCTCCCCAGCGATACCAAGGCCGAATCTAGCGGCAAAGACGACGACGCGGAACCGCCGCCGGCATATTCTGAAGAAGGAGACAGTCCCCTTCAATCATTTACATATCTAATGGCTGCCGCCGGAGGAACGTCGAGTATTATTACTCAGGTCCAGCAGGGTGGACCGTCCATCAACGCCATCGGAGATGTCGGCGCTGATGAGACTATTGTGATGGACCTTCGGTACGTCCCCTATGGTGTTCTAATCTCGAGCATGCTCTAACCCATCATAGTGGTACCCGATTTGTGCTATCCAGAGATGAGCTGCTTACCCTCCCCGAATTTGTATTGCTGTCTCTTTTCCCCAATGGGCTCTTCCCAGAGGGCCATATGGGTGGCCCCAACGATGATGCGGTGCAAGTCGACGTATGTCATTAGTCTTCTCAGTGAATCTCATGCAATACTGACAGTGGCGCAGTATGACCCCGTTTCTCTTCAATATATGCTGGACTTTTTCCGTGATGTTGCACAGTCGATACCCATTGACTCGGAGGGCACGTCCAACGATGGAGACTCGCACGGACTAGACTCTCGCGATGACGCATCGAAGCGGGCTGGTATCATTGTTCTTAGAGAAGATCTTGATTTTTATGTCATTCCTCCCAAAGCAGACATTACGCAACAAGACATGATCAAAGTCAAGAGGGCTGCAGCGCAGGCTCTCCAAAAGCAAGACGGTATCTTTTCTGGGCTGAAGCGCAGTGACGAGCCTGGAACCACTGAGGCACATCTTATTGAGATGCTGACTGCTGGGTACGTGCCCAATTGCAACGCACACATGATACAGACACGCTAACTTGTTGCAGTGGTTTCAATCACGACGACTGCTGGGGCCATAGAGCCGGCGAGCCCAACAAGGCCGTCATTTGTAGCCTGGCGCTGACCCGACTGAGAAGTGACATTCGCGGGAGCGACTTGGGAAACAACGCAATGGGGATGGCCCAGAAGCTGCTCTTGTTCTGGCGCAAACCCGCGAGACGATGCTGGTGGGAGGGCATCGAGCTGGACAATGTCGACGGAGTCGAGGGTCCTCTCAAAGTCTGGATCCGACGCGTATGGACGCTGGAGATGTCTGTGATTGGACTCCGGTAAAGGAACTACTCTTTTGAACAAAAAAAAAGATGGGAAGCAAAGATACCATAAAGCGAAACTTGGGAGAAAGCTGCTAGGGAGTATTACACATGCTGGCGTCTGGGTACATGTAATAGTTTGTTTTGTCTTTCTTTTCTTTTCGTTTGTTACTATTTTTGGTACCTTGAGTTTTCGTTAATAGTGGTGTTGTTATTGGCACATGGCGGCTTTGCTCATGTTCGTGTGCATGTCTAGATGTGGCGGACGATGTCCCAGTGTTTGCTCTGGTAGGGATGGCTCTGAATGTCAGGACAACTTGGCTCGGCTAGGTTATATTCCAGTTTTAGGATTTCTATTCACTCTACAAAGACGTGCTAGGCAGCGCCAGCCGTTGATGATGCGGTTTGTACCCTAACTACCTCCAAGGTGCTTGCCTATGTACATGCCTGCCCTACTCACAGTTTGCAACTCCTCCTTGCCAGCTTCCGTCACAGTCGCTTCTCAACGATCGCCTTAATCTTTCCAATATCCACAGCCGGGACCGTTCTGCCCTTGAAGCCAGTCATGGTTGTTCCCATAAAGATGGAATTGTAAATCGCTTCTTCCGTCGCATCTGCCGCCGCCTCGAAAAGGCCGTTGATGGAATCGTTGTCCGTCATCTGCACCGACATCGGGCTGGGCCGCAGCGGGTCGACAGTGCGCGAGGCATGGCCAGACATGGAGACCTCCTGGTACGGAATCTTGCTTGCTGTGGAAAAGGCCAGGAAAATATCACCAGAGGTATTGTTACCGTAGCCGCCCACCTTGGCGAGGCCGACGGTGGCGCGCTTGGCGAGTCGCTGCAGCTGGACAGGCAGCAGAGGCGCATCGGTTGCAATGACAATGATGATGCTTCCGTCCTTCCGAACTTCCTTCTCAGACTTTTCAGCCTCTTCATCCCTTTTTTTCTCTGCTGCATCCTGCTCTTCCTTGATAATCGCTCCAACGGGGACACCGCCAACATGGAACGACTGAGGGCCTCCATAGTTGGCCTGAACCAACACGCCGACCGTATAGTCAACCTCGTTTCCCGACTCGTCGAAGCCGCTGACAACTCGGCTGCTGCATCCAGTACCAGCCTTGAATCTGTGGCACACCATGCCAGTCCCGCCCCCTGTGCACCCTTCGGCGACAGCTTTCGAAGAAGCATTCTTGATACCGTCAATGACGTGCTGCGCCGTCAACGGGAAACGGCTAAGATCACTCAAATAGCCATCATACGTCTCCGCGACAACGGGGACGATAAAAAGAGGCATTTCTCCTTCCACATCCTGGTGAAAGCGGTAGCAGTATTCATAGATTCCCCGGTAAGAGTCACCGACCGAGCCGGTGGATGTGAGGAGAATCGGCGATGTAAGAAGGCCAGTCTCGTCCATCCAGTGAGACCCCGTCAGCTCGCCACATCCATTGAAGCGAAATACGCCAGCGAAGCAGCAGTACTTGTACCAGTCTCGTCTTGGAAGGATTGTTGTAAGTCCGGTGTTGACGTGTTTGTCTTGGGACCGAATAGTGATGACGTCAACCAACACGCCCGGGACGTCGGTAATAGAGTTGAGTTTTCCAGGCTTGAAGTTGCCGAGGCGAAGTCCTGGGATTGCCTCGCGCACTCTCATCCGGGCGGCATTTGGTTTGGTCTCAGTCCTGATGATAACCATGGCGGTAGACTTGGTGGCGGTAGACTTGGTGGCGGTAAGGGCTTGAGTTTGTGCTTAGGAGGGGCAAGAAGAGGTTGAGAGTAGTGAATTTGTCGGCAACAGTGAAGCAGATAGGAAAGTCGCGCATCAAGGGCTTTTATCATAGCTCAATAGACAGCTGACGACTGCGTGGACGTGCAGGGAAACGTGATGGCGGACGCAAACTGTGTGATGATGCCTGCCATATCCACGTTGGTGTGTGTGGCCGGTAGTTAGCGTATTGATCATTTGCAACTTATGAGGCTTTGCCCTTCTGATCAGGGTGGCTCTTGCTCCAGGTTTTTGGTCATCGGGCCGGTTGTTTGGCCTTGTTGTCTTTGTTGACTCTAGCGGGAATCCACTCTGGGCTTTGTTCGCCACGCTGTCGGCCCTGAATTTCACTGCCTGTCTTTGAAAGCTTAAATACGACTACCCGAGACATGGGTCAGAGCGCGACTCAAGTCTGCCAATTTTTAACCCAGATTATTACTGCTTAACTTTTTCTTCTCAGCTGGCGTGCCGTCATAGAAGCTTGTTACACATCAACATGTCGGACTTTAGGGTAAGAGATCACTAGGCTGGATGGACAACGACAAGGAGAGAAATAACGCAGCCCAATATGATGCGATGGCCGCAACCTGAGGTGCAAAATATTCATTGCTTCATACTTTTTCCTCACGACTGCTTTGTTGGCAGCGATAATCCGCGGTACATATACATACATGTTCCACAGGCGGCTATAACGGGTGTCGCGGGCCGGTGCTGAAGAGTGTTTGTGTTTGTGGAATAGCAGGCAAAGGTTGAACAAAGAATCAGGGAAAAAAAAACCCCGAAAGTTCAAGGGATCCTGCATGATTTCGCATTATCCAACACACCAGAGCCGGTGTCTAGATGCGAAAGGGACATGAACTTCTCTCTTCATCTTCATCGCCGTCCTCGTGTTGGTGCTGCCAGGTCCGCTTGCCCCGCCACAAGCACCACCTAAATCCGGGGTACGGCGCAACACCCGAGGCTCGAGACACTGACTTGGCGGTCCGCCTTGTCTCCCCCCTCACCTGTCTTGACTTTTGTTATGCTAAGAAAGCAGTTCATCAAAGCACGCATCGAGATACATTCCCAACGGCCAATTGACAAGCACATATCCGGGTAATCACGCGTCCATTCATTTATTCATCCCACAATGGTCGCTCCCATCCGAGTCGTGCCCAATGTAAGCTACCCGTGCCCACTCTCACGCCCTCATCACCATCATCATCAGACACGCAACCGCTGACCCTGCATCCTCACTCCCGCTCCCCAGGCGGCCGTCCGCGCGAGCAGCCTCCTCCGCACCATCCAGTACACGCACCCGCCCTCGTGCCCGTGTCACTCCAACCCAGGCTATCACCAGTCCCAGCCCGCCGTCCTGCCCCGACCCGCCCAACCCGGCTACCGCCGCTACGCCACACCCACCAAGACGGAGACGCTCAAGGAGTACGCCTTTGAGATGGCCGCCTCATCCATCCGCTTCGGCCCCGGCGTCACCCAGGAGGTCGGCATGGACTTTAAGAACCTCGGCGCCAAGCGCGTCGCTGTTGTTACTGACCGCACCGTCGAGAAGCTCGACGCCATGAAGCAGGTCGTCGAGGGCCTCACCCGCGAGGGCGTCCCCTTCGAGGTCTTTGCCGACGTCCGCGTCGAGCCCAAGGACAGCTCGTAAGAAAAACAGGACAGGTCCCACTCCCACTGCAGCGAGAACCAACCTTGCTAATTGATGTGTATCTGCAGAGTCAAGGAAGCCATTGCCTGGTCGCGTCCGTACCAGCCAGATGCTTTCCTTGCTGTCGGTGGTGGATCCGTGATGGACACTGCCAAGCTCATGAACCTGTACACGTGCTATCCCGACGCCGACTTTCTCGACTTTGTCAACGCGCCGCTTGGAAAGGGCCTGCCCGTCGACAAGCCGCTGAAGCCTCTCATCGCGGTTCCCACCACGGCTGGTACTGGTAGCGAGACGACCGGCACCGCAATCTTCGACCTCGTCTCGAAAAAGGCCAAGACCGGCGTTGCTCACCGCAACCTGAAGCCGACGCTGGGCATCTGCGATCCCCTCAACACGAGGACCATGCCGGCCGCCGTCAAGGCCAGCTCCGGCCTGGATGTCTTGTGCCACTCGCTCGAATCTTGGACCGCCATCCCTTACAACGAGCGCACCCCCCGCCCGGCCAACCCCATCCTGCGACCTGCCTACCAGGGCGCCAACCCAATCTCCGACGTCTTCTCCTTCCACGCCCTACGCGCCACCGTCAAGTACCTTCCCCGAGCCGTTAGAGATCCTGATGACTTTGAGGCACAGAGTGAGATGCTCCTGGCCGCTACGCTAGCCGGTGTTGGATTTGGAAACGCGGGTGTCCATCTTTGCCATGGTAAGTAACGTATTGATATTATTTCTACATAGAAGATGACCCGCATCTAACAAACATATTTAGGCATGTCATACCCCATCTCTGGACAGAACCCTGCTGGCTATAGACACGCTGGTTACGACCTCCCAGCACCGCTGATTCCTCACGGCGTCTCAGTCGCCGTGTCTGCACCGGCCGTTTTTCGATTCACTGGCGCTTCCAATCCCGAACGCCATCTTGCCGCCGCCGAGGTATTTGGTGTTGACATCTCAAACGTCAAGCGAGAGAGCGCTGGCGAGATCCTGGCCGAAGCTCTGACCAAGTTCCTGGCCGACCTCGGCGACCAGCCGAGCGGTATCAAGGACCTTGGCTTCGGCAGCGAGCACATCGAAGCTCTGGTCGAGGGCACACTGCCCCAGGCTCGTGTGCTAATGCTTGCGCCTGGCCTTGCCAAGGAGCTGGAGACTGAGCGTGACCAGCTGCGGAAGCTCTTCGAAAATGCCCTGTCACACTAGTTGTACAAAACCCCGTGTGCTTATTTGGTTGGAGTTGTATAGACAAATAAATAGCGGAAACACAGGTGCACTGACTTGTGTTCACTTGAACTTGTCCGGGTTGCTCGGAATCATGTGCCGTAGGACAGCTATTTGCTTCACCATGCCTAGTTTCCTCAATTCGGATGCGTCGCGTTGGTCCGTTCGTTGTGTGCCGTTCGAATAGACAACGGTGTAGTCTGGTAATGTCGTTCCGGGAGGAATAACAGACATGGGAGATATTGTGCAGTTCTGGTATTACGTTAGCTGTCGCGACTCCGTGTTAGGAAGCGGATGATTATACCGATCCAATCTTGGTGCCGCTGCCAATTTTGCTTCCGACTTGAATCAAGCTGCCCTCGCCGATTTCTGTGCCGCCGGATTCTATGATAGAGCCGACCTCTATTTGCACATAGTCACCGACAGCAACACCTCCCGCGCCGGCAGTTTCTGGGTTCTCGGGTCGGGCCCCGATGTGAGCCCGCTCGTGAATGATGCAGCGTCGTCCGATAAGAACACTGCCGTCATTGGACTCAAAGCGGCAGCGAGGGTGAATCACCGTTTCGGATTGCATAGTTATTGAGTGTGTGCCTTGTAGAATGGCATTGTCGGAGATTACGAGGGAGGACGAAAAGTTGACGGGTGGCTTGGGGCCGGATCTGTCAATCGCGGGCAGGATTGAGTGGCGTTTGCTCGACATGATTGGTACCAAAACTCTCTCTGGAGGGCTGATCAGAATCGCAAACTTCAGAGATGGAAAATATTTGTTTGTCAGGTAGAAAAGATTGCTATGAAAAGCGTGGCGAGGGGTAAAGCTTAAAGTTCATGGACGCGCTGGAATAAGCTATCCATCTCCGGAGTTTGGAGCTTGAAAGTGAAGTCCAAGTTTGGCCTAGTGACAGTCTAAATGGTCGCAAGTTGATGATGTTGGGCAGTACAAGATATCCACAGTAAACTGGGTGAGTTCTGGGGTACTCGCTAACGCCAAAGCTTAGTCATAGATGTGGCTCGCATTGGCCAACCACATCGTCTGCATTTCTGATGCTCAGATTAGTTGCAAGGTCGCCCATCGAAGTAGCGCACACGTCTTTCAACCCCCAAACCGTTCAACGGAAGCCAACAACATGCTGTCCACGAGAGCGGCCCCCAAGACGGCCGTCAATGTCTCACGGACCGCCGTGAGAGGATTGGCCACCGTCCAGGATGGCACCCCCAAGCGCACCTACGGCGGCCTGAAGGATCAGGACCGTATTTTCCAGAATTTGTACGGACGATACCCGGCCGACCTGGCGAGCGCGAAGAAGATGGGCGACTGGCACAAGACGAAAGAAATTATCCTCAAGGGGCACGATTGGATTATCAACGAGGTCAAGGCCTCCGGTCTCCGTGGCCGTGGTGGCGCTGGCTTCCCCTCGGGTCTGAAATGGGTACGTTGTAGCGCGGCTGCTTCGGTTGTGGAGATTGATGGTGCGACGACTACGAGCGAACAAAACTGACCAATGCGTCTGCAGTCTTTCATGAACTTCAAGGACTGGGACAAGGACAACAAACCGCGATACCTCGTCGTCAATGCCGATGAGGGCGAGCCCGGAACCTGCAAGGACCGCGAGATTATGCGCAAGGACCCGCACAAGCTCATCGAGGGATGCCTCGTCGCCGGCCGCGCCATGAACGCCACCGCCGCCTACATCTACATCCGCGGCGAATTCATCTACGAGGCCGAGGTCCTCCAGCGGGCAATCAACGAAGCGTACAAGGACGGTCTCATCGGCAAGAACGCGTGTGGCTCCGGGTATGACTTTGACGTTTTCATCCACCGCGGTGCCGGCGCCTACGTCTGCGGCGAGGAGACCTCCCTGATTGAGTCGCTCGAGGGCAAACCCGGCAAGCCTCGTCTGAAGCCACCGTTCCCGGCCGCCGTCGGCCTGTTTGGCTGCCCCTCCACCGTCGCCAACGTCGAGACCATTGCGGTCGCGCCGACCATTTGCCGTCGCGGCGGCAACTGGTTCGCCGGCTTCGGTCGCGAGCGTAACCAGGGCACCAAGCTCTTCTGCATCTCCGGCCACGTCAACAACCCCGTTACCGTCGAGGAGGAGATGTCCATTCCCCTCCGCGAGCTGATTGACAAGCACTGCGGCGGCGTCCGGGGCGGCTGGGATAACCTGCTGGCCATCATCCCTGGTGGTTCCTCCACCCCAATCCTCCCCAAGAACATCTGCGACGACCAATTGATGGACTTTGACGCCCTGAAGGACAGCCAGTCTGGTCTGGGTACGGCAGCCGTCATCGTTATGGACAAGAGCACCGACGTCGTCCGCGCCATCAGCCGCCTCAGCCACTTCTACCGCCACGAGTCCTGCGGCCAGTGCACTCCTTGCCGTGAAGGCAGCAAGTGGACTGAGCAGATCATGTCTCGTTTCGAAAAGGGCCAAGGCCGCGAGCGTGAGATTGACATGCTCCAGGAGCTCACCAAGCAAGTTGAGGGACACACTATTTGCGGTAAGTCATCTAACGTACCACGCTCCTTATCTCGATCACAGAAACTAATGGGTCTCGTAGCTTTGGGAGAGGCCTTCGCCTGGCCCATCCAGGGTCTTATTCGCCACTTCCGCCCGGAGCTGGAGGCGCGCATGGCCAAGTTTGCCGAGGAGAACGGCGGCCAGGCTTTCGCTGGCGGTCTGCCCCGCACCGCGCGTGCTGAGGGCAAGCTCCTGTCACCTGGCCAATAATTGTAATAGCTGGAGTAAAAGAGGGTTTCGAGCGAGATTTTAGAGGTTCCGCGATTGGGCGAAGCGCGGTTGCGCAACCTACCCGCACAATGCTGCGGCTGTATCTATTTTACTATGTCATCAATGTTACTTGTTACAAATCTAAGCTGTATGATGTGAATTTATATCTTCGCCGGCTGCGTTTTCCAATGCTCTGCTCTCTAGACCATGACATCTTCTGCAGTCAGAGGATTGCGCTGACCAACTATCTCCAACTACTTGCGAATGAAGGAGCTTGATCAGTAATTTCTCCGCCCCCAGAGAGTGGGCCGAGCGCGGGATCTGCGGACTCGATGTGGCCGTGCCGAGCCCAAGGATCATTATTAGGGGGCTCGTTCTCGTTGTCGGCATTGGAGCCTAACATGCAAATGGCATAACCTCCTGGCATAATAAGCGCCATAATCCTTCCTGTGCAGAGCTTTTCCTTTACTTGCCTTGCTTCAGGTATACGTTTTCTGCGACGGCCAATTCGTACGCCCTCCCTGAAAGACATCCAGAAACTTGCGGGTAAAGCAAAAAAACATGGCCAAGACCATAGAAACGTTCGTCGCCTTTGGGGCTGATATCTGTATGTCCTACCACGGGTGCGCGCAAACCATACCTCCTCATCCGCCACCCTCTCAAATGCCAATTGACCGTCACTGACCGTTCGTCTGTTTAACACATTCAGTCGCTCTTGAGCGAATGATGCGCCTGCTCCAGGCCGTCGGCATGGTCTTCACCTCCTACAGCTTCCTCATCGCCCTCGCGCGGCCCTCCGCCTCCGCCGCCCACCACCTCGCCACGCGCCTCGCCCTCGTCGCGCTGCAGGACTGGCTCAACGTGACCCGCCGGGCCCTGCGGACCTTTTGGTTCCTGCGCGCCTTCCACGGCAGCTACGCCCAGTACCAAAGCCTCGCCTCGGCCCCCGGCGTGGAGGACCTGCTCGACGTCGTCGCCGGCTCGCTGCTCGGCATGTTTGGCCTGCTGGAGACCGTCACGCTGCCGGACGTGACCCGCCTGCCGGGGCTGGCGGTGTTCGGCGCGGAGGAGACACGCAGGCTCAACGTGCAGGCGCAGGCGTGCTGGCTGGCGGCGCTGGTGGCGATGGTGCTGGCGGGGGGCGTGAGGGTGCTGCGGCTGCTGGCGGAGCGCGCGGTGCCGACGGGGGCTGATTTTGGCGGCGGCGGCGGCGGCGTGGGTGATGATGATGCGGAGGAGGAAGGGGGGAAAGGTGGGAAGAAGGGAGCGGCATCGGAGAAGAAGAAGAAGAAGCGGGATGCAGAAAGGAAGAGGAAGCTGGACAAGGCGGAAGCGGCGCGGAAGACGAGAGTGCAGGTACGGGCGCTCACGCTCAAGATGGTCAATGATGCGCTGGATATGGTCATCCCGGCGAACATCTGCGGGTTGTCCGAGTTTCACCCCGGCCAGGTCGGCATCGCCATGGCGGTTACGTCTCTCATTACATTGCGCGGTCATTGGGAACGCTGCGCCAAAACCTTGCAGTGAAAAGGCGTTTCTCGACGAGACACAAAGGTCTTGGTTGGATGGTATTTTTTTGCCCTTTCCTGGCTTCTTCCAAGAATTATAGACTCCAGAATAGACTAAAATAAGCCATGTACCATCAAAGTAGCTGTATATGACTACCTTTATTAAATGGTTGTGTACTAAAAAAAAATAGGCAAGACAAGATAAATGCAAGTATGACCTGGAGGGCCTCAACATCTCAGGTTGACAATGTCCCCAATAGAGACGTTGAGTATTTAATTCCCCTCTCCCAGAAAATTCTCATTGGCTGTGAATCAGGATCTCAACATGCAATCTGTCATTTCAAAAATGACAATCTTCATCGCCGTCCACCAACTGCAGAACATGTAAACCAAACCATTTTCATACGGCTGGGATATGCAAAACCAGACAGGACAAGACTCTCCACCGGGTATTTTTCTCAAACATAATCATGAACATGCCATCATTATTTCTCCAAAAGATTAAACCAAAAATGAGCAGGAAGAAGAAGAAGACATCAGCGTCGCCCAGTGATGATGAACTGTCCAGTGCCCACCTCCATCTTCCAGCCGTCTTGGAGGAGAGCCGCGGCCACGGATCTCCTCAACTGCGAGACGCCACCCGCGCTGTGGCGGCCAAGTCCTGTGATGATAGCCAGAGGGCTTGTCCTGGCCTCCTGGGCCTTGAACTCACCCAGCTGCGCCCACCAGTCCGCGGCACGCTGGCGCGCGATGCGCGTGCCATCCCGCACCGAGACGCCGTGCAAGTCGATGCTCCGCCCGTAGCTCTGTTCGTCGACCAGGAGGTCGGCGGCGGCGGACGTCGCCGCGTGCGCGTCGCGTGCGTGCCCGCGGGCCTGTTCGGCGTAGTAGGCTGCCGCCTGACGGTAGAGCCCATGCGAGGCCCCCTTGCGGTGCATGTGGACGGCCGAGGCGGAGGCCTCGCGCCGCGCGTGTTGCAGGGCCTGCGAGGCCTTGATGGCGTCTGCAAAGCTGCCGCCGGCTCCGGCGATGGCGACGAGCGGCGAGGAAGCAGTTGCTGGCTTCGTGGGGGAGAGAGCCCACGCGGGTCGGTTGGGCGAGCCCAAAGGACTGGGAGAAGTCGAGCCCTCGATCTCGTCACGGGGTAGGGGCGTCATAATGTTGCCAAGCATTAATTTTTGGCCTTTGTTCTTCTTGGACCGCGCGAAATGTTTGTTGACGAGCTGAGCTAGGTCGTCCGAGAAGGGAATGATCGAGTTGGTGGCGCTGACGATGGCCTGTAGGTAATTTTCGGGGACTTGCCTATACTTGCGCGACAAGATGGTGACAGCTTCTAGTAGAGAGTCATCATCGGCGAGGCTGGGGTCCTGCGAAATTCGCTGGTCCAGAAGCGCAACCACCGTCTCTGGGGACGAGCAGTCGTGTTCATAGTACGTCTCCGAGACGGAATCAAAAGTGAGATTGAACCGCTCTGCAATATAGCCGATGTCTGATTGCTCTTGAATGCATGTTAGCAGGCCAATTTAGTGGTTCATTGACTTTATGAGCGTACCCTTGGCTTCACGGATGAGTTCTGCGGGAACAGCATTTTTTGTGTCTGGCGAGGGCTCTCTTCGCTTGCGCCCTTTGCCTTTTCCCTTGCGCTTCTGGGGTTCCTTGAGCTGCACAAATCCATCAATACCCTTGGTTTGCTGCCCGGTTTCCTCAAGGTACTGCATGTTGAGTAGATGATCCAGTGCAGACTGAAAATCATTATTGTACTTCTTGAGGGCATACTCGACGTCAAATGTCTTCAGTTCGGGAAACATGGCATGCAGTTGGAGGATTTTATCCTCCTTGCTGTCGTTGTTGAATGAAGTCACCCGCGGTGCTACCCACGTTGCGTCAGCGGGATCAGATGTCGATGCGGAGCTGGTTGAGTTTGTTTCCTGGTTGCCAGAGAGGTGCTGACTGAGGCTGGTCGCGGACGTGAGCGTCTGCGCGTCTATTGCGTCCTGGCTCTCGCCGTCCTGGAACCCAGCAACACCGCTGGGATTGAAGCCGCTGTTCTCCTCAGCGACTACATTTTCGGACAGGCTTTGGAGGACTTCGATGGCCGCGGCAAAGTCAGGTTTTTTGCAGAGTTCATAGTCACTTGCTACGGCTCTGACAACAGATTCATCTAGAAAAGCTCTAAAAGACTCCTACATAGAAGAACAAGTTAGTAATCAGGGACCAAGGTGGTATTTTAGTGAGTCAACAAACCACAAGTCTTTGTAAAAAGGGTTCGTTGCGCTCTATTTGAGGCATGCTGCCATGTCTCACGTTTGTGCGACGGAAATCAAGGAAGCTAGAGAAGCGAGAATAGCTAAGGAACTAGCATAGATGACGGCTTTACGGAAGATAGAGAGGGAAAAATATAAGGCGAGTGGTGAGAGGGAATGAGGGCATGGTATCTGAAGTTCGGGCTCATTGATAACCACAATCAGAAGAGCAAGCAAACGCTGAAGCAGCCTGAAGCTATTTTGCTAAGAAATCACGTGCGGGGTAGTCTATTGTGCAGCCACCAAGAATGACGACTGACGCGCAACAAGTTTCTGGAAGATGCTCCCGGGCTATTTCTTTGCTTAGAGGTAGTACTCCGCGACCGATTTCGAAGGGCATTGCTACTGTCTTTGAGGATCGTGGGTTGGTGGGAGAAGACGACCAGGTTGACAAGCGCGATGCAGGCATAATGTTTGATAGGACACGCTAATTAACAAATCTCGGTGTGAGGTATAACGTCGGAGCTATGATGCGACATGGGTGCAACAATAATAAAAGCAATAGCTGCAGGCAGTGACAAGGCATCTGAGCTGGCAAAGAATACACAGGGCTTCAGAAAACCTCTATGTGGTACATTTCAGCGTATCTTTGTGATGACATGTATTACGTCAAGGTGTTGTTTTCAGACAGTGCAGGGTATTCATTGGAGAGTCCAGGCCGTCCGTGCTTGTCAGGCGGCTGCCGGCCGGCTGTGGCGTCGACTTTTCCCAGCCACTTTTGTCTCCAAGTTTTCCAAGGGTGTTAGACCAGGGATAATGTAGTTTTTTTATTAGATTCAATTGTTACATATTCTCTCAATAACACTTCCTTTAAAAAATATAAGAAATCTACCATTCAGGAAGATTATCCCTAACTGTTGGGGGCCAGATAGATGCTTCTGCACTGTACCTGGCTAGACCCCAGAGGCCCACCATAGAAACGCATTGGGGAAGGTCGTCATGCGACGCTTTGCTTTTGACGCTAATCCCTTCTGAAATCATAGGCATCACACTGCATGTTTCGCTGCCGACAACACCTCACTCAAGCTCTCCATCAACCATCTCCCCACCCGCCTGGCTGCCTCCCTCCGTCACCACCATCACAGCTCTACTTTATACCGCCATCTTCCCATACTCACGCTCTGCTCTTCATACTTCGAACCGCCCAACCGCAGCTGGCTGCAACTTCTACAAAATCGCAGCGCCTCCGAGCGCCCCATTAACTCGTCATGCGTCATCACGCTGTCACTGCCCGACTCGCTGCCGCCGTCGCCATCAGCACCGCACTGGTCAGTGCCCAAGAATACACACCAAAGCATGAACATGGACGCTGCGCTTTCCGTGGGCAATGCGGAAAGCAGAGCTTCTTCGGAAAGGAGCTGCCTTGTGTTGATAATGGTCTCGCCGAGGACCCCGAAGCCGAGCTTCGGAGCGAGCTTGTCGACCTCTGTGGCGAGGAATGGCGTGAGGGACCAGTCTGCTGCACTTTACCGCAGGTAAGCTTCGAGACACACTGGACTATCGTTCTCTCAAAATGAAACACTGCTAACACTTCCTAGGTCAAAGCCCTTAAATCCGAACTCGGAACACCCAATACCCTCATCGGCTCTTGCCCGGCTTGCAAGCACAACTTCTTCAATACATTCTGCAAGTTTACTTGCTCTCCAGACCAGTCGCTCTTCGTCAACGTCACCAGTGCTGCTGAGAAAGGGGATAAGCTGCTCGTTACTGAACTCGACCACCTTATCTCGGACGAATATGGCGCTGGCTTCTACGATAGCTGTAAGGAAGTCAAATTTGGCGGCGCCAACTCGAAAGCCATGAACCTCATCGGAGGAGGTGCAAAGGAATACAAGGCCTTCCTTAAATTCCTCGGCGACAAGAAGCCCTTTGCCGGATCCCCATTTCAAATCAACTTTCCCCGAACCTACGAGGACCCAGCAATGGGTCCTTTAGACATGAAACCCAAAAAGTGCAATGATGAGGACCCCGATTATCGCTGTGTCTGTGTCGATTGTCCTGAAGTTTGCCCCGACCTTCCCGAGGTCAAGGAATCTCGCTCGTGCCGGGTTGGCGCGCTGCCCTGCGTGTCGTTTGCCTCTATCTTCGTCTACAGCGTGCTGCTCTTTGCTCTCGCCACACTCCTGTCTGGACATGTCGCGTGGAGAAAGTATTCCAAGAGACGAGCTGAGCGGACTAGGCTTCTGCACGAAGCTTCCCACAGCGACGATGAGGACGAGGGTGGCCCGGTTCAATCCGAGGCCATGCGCGATCGCCCTGTCAAACGATACTGGCTAAACGACCGATGCGATAAAGCCTTTTACCAGCTTGGGCTTTCTGCTGCAAGTGCGCCTGCCTTGACCATCACTATTTGTTTGGTTATAGTGGCGATATTGAGTGCCGGCTGGGTTCACTTTGACCTAGAAAAAGAGCCTGCGCGACTTTGGGTTAGCCCATCCTCGGCCGCAGCGCAAGAGAAGGCATATTTCGATGACAACTTTGGCCCTTTCTATCGTGCCGAACAGGCTTTCCTTGTCAATGACACGGTCTCTGATGGACCGTCTCCAGTTCTCAGCTACGATACTCTTCGGTGGTGGGTTGGTGTTGAAAGGAGCATTCAAAATCTCGAGAGCCCTACCTATGGCAAGTACCTTCGGGATCTTTGCTTCAAGCCGGCAAACGACGCATGCGTCATCCAGTCAGTGTCGGCGTATTGGGGTTCCAAAGGCGGCTTTGGGCGCGAGACATGGCAAGATGAGCTCCGTGCCTGCGCCAAGAGCCCAGTCGAATGTCGCCCTGATTTCGGCCAGCCTATTGAACCAGAGATGATTCTTGGCGGCTACGATTTCGATGTTGCGGAAGCCAAGGCCATCACAGTTACCTGGGTCGTCAACAATGCCCCTGGAGGCACCCCCGAATTTGCGCATGCCGTTGACTGGGAGAATACCCTGCGTGACAAGCTCCTACAAGTCCAAAAAGAGGCCGCTGACCGTGGCCTCCGGCTTTCTTTCAACACTGAAATCAGCCTTGAACAGGAACTGAACAAGTCTACAAATACTGACGCCAAGATTGTCGTCATCAGCTATGTTGTCATGTTCATCTACGCCTGCTTGGCATTGGGCACGCCGCTGAAGCACATCTTCCGCAACCCGGCCGTACTCTTGGTGGAATCAAAGGTGACGCTCGGGCTGGTTGGCATCCTCATTGTGCTCATGTCCATCTGCGCATCAATCGGCTTCTTCTCTTGGGTAGGGTTAAAAGCCACTTTAATCATCGTTGAAGTTATCCCTTTTATTGTGTTGGCTGTTGGCGTCGACAACATCTTCCTTATCGTCCACGAGCTGGACAGAGTGAATATAAGCTGCCCTGATCAGCTGGTCGAAGAGCGAGTCGCCCGAGCGCTTGGCAGAATGGGACCTTCCATCTTGTTCTCTGCTCTGACGGAGACCGTCGCCTTCGCACTCGGCGCTGCTGTCGGCATGCCCGCTGTTCGCAACTTTGCCGCATACGCGGCTGGTGCTGTATTTGTGAATGCTATTCTGCAAATGACGATGTTTGTGTCGTTTCTTGCACTCAACCAGTTACGGGTCGAAGACTACCGCTGCGAACTGTGGCCATGGTGGCAAGTCAAGACGGCCAGGGTGTATCTAAGCTCTGGCAATGGATACGCCACCGGCCGAGCGTCAGATGTTGATGAAGAGAGCGTGCTGCAGGTGTTTATCAAGAACACCTACTCAACCGCCATCCTTGCGAGAAAAGCCAAGGTCATCATCGTTGCCGTCTTCCTTGGCATGTTTGCTGCTGCGATAGCCTTGCTTCCCACGGTGCAGATTGGTCTTGATCAGAGAGTTGCCATTCCTGATGGCTCGTACCTCATCCCCTACTTTAACGACATGTACGCATACTTTGGCGTTGGCCCGCCTGTTTATTTCGTCGCGAGAGAGAATGTAGCGCAAAGGATCGAGCAACAAGAGCTGTGCTCACGGTTTACCTCTTGCCAACAACTCTCGCTGACAAACACTCTAGAAATGGAGAGACGCAGGCCCAATGTGTCATATATTGCATCACCCACTGCTAGCTGGATTGATGACTTCTTCTTGTGGCTAAACCCGGCCTATGAGACATGCTGTACAAGAGGTCGATCGGCGTGCTTCGCTGACAGAGACCCTGCCTGGAACACTAGCCTGTCCGGTATGCCTGAAGACGACGAATTCTTGCACTACCTCGACAAGTTCTTGAAGAGCGATGCCGATGAGGAGTGCCCGCTCGGAGGCAAGGCTGCTTACGGTCAAGCCGTGGTCCTTGACCAAGCCGCTACGAGTATCAAAGCCAGCCACTTTAGAACAGCGCACACGCCGCTCCGCAGTCAGGAAGACTTCATCAGTGCCTACTCGTCCGCACGCCGCATCGCGTCGGAGATCTCGGAGCGGACTGGTGCCGACGTGTTCCCCTACAGCGTGTTTTATATCTTCTTTGACCAGTATCTCAGCATTATCCCCCTCACCGCCGGACTCTTGTCCGCGGCGGTCGGCATCATCTTTGTCGTAGCCTCTGTCCTGCTCGGCTCCACCCTCACCGCCGCCGTCGTGTCCGTCACCGTTGTCATGAGTGTCGTCGATATCATGGGCGCCATGGCCGTCTTTGGCGTGTCCCTGAACGCCGTCTCCCTCGTCAACCTCATCATCTGCGTCGGTATTTCAGTCGAGTTTTGCGCCCACATTGCGCGTGCCTTCACCTTCCCCTCACGCACCGTTCTTGAGAGCAACACCAACGCCCTGCGCGGACGGGACGCGCGCGCCTGGACGGCGCTTGTCAACGTCGGCGGCTCCGTCTTCTCCGGCATCACCGTCACCAAGCTGCTCGGCGTGTTCGTGCTAGCGTTTACACGCTCCAAAATTTTCGAGATTTACTACTTCCGCGTGTGGCTCTCACTCGTCGTCTTCGCGGCCCTGCACGCCCTCGTCTTCCTGCCGGTGGCGCTGAGCATCGCCGGCGGCAGCGGCTATGTGGATCCGGAAAGCGAAGGCACAGCGGCCCAGGACCTCACAGACCGCCGGTGGCGGGCAATCCGCATTGGAGATCAGAGCGACTCGGAGGATGAATACTAGAAAACGCCGCCAATTGGCGCGCAGCAGGGTGCGTGGGCTGAACATGTGCTGTCTGCAGTTAGATCCTTCCGTAAACCATTTATTTTCGGATAACACATACTTGCACGATGTGTAATGGAGTTGGGATAATACAGCGAGTTTATTATTAGTAATTATATTCCTTTACTTCTCTTCTCCCCCTGCATCTTGCACGTTGCGCTCTCTGCCCGGCTACGCGGGCGGTAAGAAGGTAGAAAACAGCACCGCCTGTATCCCCGCATACATGACCATAAACACGACGGCCGCACGCCCCGTAGCCCGACGCTCGGCGTCCACCAAGCACGCCGCGATCCACCAGTACCACACAGCGTAGCCGGACGCGAGGCGCGAGATGACCTGGACGTGGTAGCTGGTGAGGGCAAGGAGCGCGACGATGGCCTGGCTGGCGGCCAGCGCGCGCAGCAGCGTGCGGTGGTCGGCCTGGATAGACGGCGACATGCCGGCCGCCGCGGCCGGGCGTCGCAGAACCTGCCAGCCCGAGACGAGCAGGAGCGAGAGCACGGGCGCGGCGAGGAGGAAGAGTGGGATCTGGCTGGGCGTCCAGTAGCGGAGGAAGCCGACGTTCCTAGGGGAATCGCGTAAGCAAGCGGGCAAAAAACACGGTCGGCACCGTCCTGTCGCACCACGGCGGCCGCGCGGCGCCGCCGTCGCAGTAGATCGTGTACGCGGCATACTGCGGCACCACGCTCCCGAGAGCGACCAGGACGCCGCCGAGTCCCGCGGCCGCGGCCGCCACCGCCGGGCGGACCCGCGTCGGTGGCGGTACCCCGCGGCGAGCACCCAGACGCCGGCGAAGGAGAGCGCGCTGAAGGGCGCCTCCGCGTACGGCGCGGACAGGAAGACGCCGGCGGGGGCGAGGACGCACAGCAGCGCGGCCAGCAGCGGCATCCGCGCGTCGCCGCCGCCCTGCAGAAGAGCGGTTAGGCGGTGGAGGGTGAGCGCGGCGGCGAGGTGGGAGGCGTGCGCGAGGGCGATGCCGGCCAGCGCCTCCGGCTGGTCGCCGTGGGGGAGGGCGGTGCGGGAGAGCCACCGCAGGAGCAGAGAGAGTACGGGGCTGAACGCCCACTGCTGCTCGTAGACGTGCCCGACGCGCGCGCCGTGCACGAAGTAGATGGCGTCCCAGCGCGTGAGGCGGCCGGCGAGGGTGGTGGTGGAGGAGGAGGAGGAGGGGGCGCCGAGGAGGGAGAAGAGTAGGGACGTGGAGGTGTCGTAGTCGGGGCCGACGAGGGCGCTGCCGTAGGAGAGGAGGAGGATGAACGACTTCCACGCGACGAAGGCGCCGACGAGGATGAGGAGCGGCGATGAGCTCGCGGATGGCGGCGGCGGCGGCGATGCGGCCTTGTATGCCATGCTGGCGGGTGCGCGCAGTGCTGGGAGGGAAGGTGTTGCCAGATTGGATTTTGATTATCTCATTTGGACGGGACCGTGCGGAGAGGGCTCTGGTTTCTATGAACTCATGACGATTCTCTCTTTCTGCCTCTTGATCTTTTTTGCCCCCGACGAAGATGATGAGGTACCGCAGGTTGTTGGAGCTGGCGGAAGGCCTGTAAGGTGCGAAGCTTGCGAGCGAGCGAGCGAGTCCCCAGGTAGGTACCTATGTAGTTACCTATGTACATAGGTAGTTCCATACCTACATACATAATTCACTTGGGACCTTCAGGGTATCTTGACGGGTTGAACAACAGATCACCACCCGAACATTATTGCATATAGACTAAAATCAGACTGCAGAGAAATTTACCTGACATCTTCTAGAAAATGATTTTGTGAGCCAAATTCAGCCCTGAAAAGAGTGACGAGTGACTGACTACCTTGGTATTAATTCGTGACCCTACTGTTACGCAGGCCCACGAATGTAGCACAGCCACCTGCCAATGCGAGTGATGTGGCGCTTGCTGACGTCTTGGTGGCTCGAACGGGTCGTCGCAAGCTTAACTTACCATGTCCATGATATGAAATTCTTCCTCGACAATCGGCTGGCCACCAAACGTCGCAAGCAATTGTGCAGCTGATTCAATCAATGCGACAGAATCCCGATTATCGAAGCAAAACCACAGGCGTCGTATCCGACGTGTAGACGAGATGCGCATCCGCTTCACCTTTGCAGGTGTGTTCTGCTGGCGATTCGCGTCGGCTTCCTTCGAATCATGCTAACCGCCTCGCAGGCGTGTTCCTGCTTTTGCTCCTCCTGGCAGCATATGCCGGGCTCACAAAGCTGCAGCTCAGCCACCTCATCAACGACAAGCTACTACACTTCCTCACATTCTTCCTCCTCACCGTCGTCTTCTACTGGGTCGTCGACACGAACCGCCGCCGGACGATAAACATGACATTCGCCGTATGTACGCTGATCCTCGGCGTGGGCTCCGAGTTCCTGCAGAGCGTCCTGCCCAACGATCGCGACTTTGACGCCTACGACATCGCCGCCAACCTTGCTGGCAGCCTGCTCGGGCTCGGGCTGTGCTCGTGGTACCACCGGCGGATGCTGGAGCGCCGACGCCAGAAGAAGACGTACACCGCGGTCCCGGGCGAGGATGATGGGGACCTGGAGCTTGGCGAGGGTCACGAGACGGGCATCGTGGAGGATGGCGGCGCCCCGCCGCAGACGCTGGAGGAGGAGCTGGACAACTGGGACGAGAATGCGCCGGACGACTGGGAGGACGAGGGCAATGCGGAGGGAGCGGATATTGCGGCGCCGGAGAACGCTGACAAGGCCAAGTGATGGGCCTCCGAAGTTGCAGGTCTGTCGCCGGTGGTAAGAAGTGGATGGGCCGTAGGAAGCTTGGACAGCGCCGGCTCTCCGCAACTTACAAACGCCGTCTTATTTAGCAGGATGCCATCTTGCTGTGTTAAATATATGAGAAATGAGAATGAAATAGCGTGCGATTTTCATTGAGTGAGTCTTCTATTGCATGGCACACTACTCTGCTCGTTCTAGTCAAGAACCTAAGGGCTGTATAGCGACATCTAATATTGTCCTAACAGATTAAAATCAGCCACATGTCTTGGATATGCCAATATTTACTACTAGAAGAATCTTTTCTGACTGTGTGATCCTAATTCCACGTACTGCAAACTGAGAATGCCAAAAAATAGATGTTCCCTTTATCCGGTCAACTGCGTCGTTGATGAAGCTTGGTGAAGCCACCCCACCCCATTTGGAGGTACCCCTCCGCCAGTCGGCCAGCCCACTTTGCAGCAAAGGCAACGCCAATCGAAGCTCCCAACTCCTTCTATCTTGCAAGCACAATCACACGTTAACCATGGCGAGCAAAGCAAAGCAGCCTGCTGCTGGGTGAGGATATTAGCTACAAGCTACAGCATGGGCCTCTAGTACTAACATTTGACGCAGCGGCAAGGACGAGACATCGACAAACCCCCGAGGAATTCCCACTGCGCCATTCGTCGACAAGGTTGAGGACTATGTCTCGTCACGCGACGAGGTCGAAGGCACACTACAGAGCTTTCAGGAGCTGATATCGTACGTGAATGCGACATTACATATGCATCAGCCATCAGCGACCGTTTTCCATCGGCGAAGAGGACGATTCGGCCTGTAGGAACACAGGTGCTAACAATGCGATCAGCAAATACCAGTTTATGGAAATGAACCTCCAAAAGCGCATGGCCGGCCTTAAGGATAAGATTCCTGATATTCAGAAAACGTTAGACACCGTGCAGTTCATGAAGCTGCGCAAGGTATGTCAGGTGCACATGTTTAAGCAGCCTTAGCTGATCGTTCAAGGACGAGAGCGAACCAATCGAGACAACATTCGAGCTCAACGACACGTTGTACGCGCGCGCCAATATCCCACCAACGGACGAAGTTTACATTTGGCTTGGAGTAAGACGAAGAAACGATAGACCGTGATCGCCCCATGGACCGATGCTAACGCCGTGCCAAGGCCAACGTCATGCTCTCATACCCCATCGACGAAGCTCAAGCCCTTCTCGAATCAAAGCTCAAGTCGGCCAAGACGAGCCTTTCAAATTGCGAAGAGGACGCAGACTTTATACGCGAACAGATCACGGTGAGCAATGCCCAACATGACATCCCCCTGGGACTGGGGCCATGGTACTAATTCTACTCGGACGCGCGCAGACGATGGAGGTTGCCACGGCGCGAGTATACAACTGGGAGGTTGTTCAGAAGCGAAAAGAAAAGAAAGAGGAGGAAGAGTCAAAAGCCGCGGCCAAGCCCCAAGAAAAGTCATAGAGAGGATAAAAATATTGAGTATTTGATGACGCATTGTCGCATGTTGCTACTCAGGCGCTGAAATACACACTCTCGGTCTTGGAATCCGACCAGAGTGTACATTTAAAATTTTATCTAACTCTGGGTCTAAGGAATTGTATATGAAATAAGACCGAGGCTTGATGCTGCTCTTTCGTTGTAGAGATGCTGCTGGTTTTCCTGGTGACTAGGCATGCCCCACTCTATTTTCAATCCCCAATTCCTGTTCTACCAGCAGTTCTTGGAAGAATCGCATTGCCAGCACGCATCGCATTTTGCAGAACCGTCGAAGCCCACAATACTGCACATCGCATGAAAATTGCTCTGTATGGCGAAATGAAGAGGAATGTTTCGACGGGCGGCATGGAATGTCCGCGGAAGGCTGCCGCGCGCCCCCGGCTCGATGCAGGGCGAGAAGGTAAGGATTCTCGCAACGCTGGCGATGCAACCCCGTGCTAACCTGGTGCAACAGAGTCGTGCTCGCGCATCATGCGTCGATTATCTATTAAACTTTCATACAGCAAGCCCAGCACGTCCGTATGACGGTACGGGATGTACAGCAGCCCAGTCGACTAGGTTGGCTTGGCCGTCTGCCTCTGTACCCCCCAATGCGAATATCTCGAGTTACCGCACGGACACAACGATACAAAATGCATCTTATAGAGCTGAGAAAAGCACACCGCATTCTACATCACGAAAAAGGGAGCAACCGAAGCTACGACATGTGGATGGGCATGAGTATAGCTACATGCGGTTCCTTACGAAGATCCTGGAGCGCGATCAGAATGTTGAGCCCTGGGAGCTTACAGTAGCGCGGTCGCGGCCAATATCGATCCCGATTGTTTTAGCACAGTTGATACTGGCGAACCGAGCCGCAAAAGGAACCACGGAAGGTGACCAGCTGTTGAAGCTGCTCCCGTCCGAAACGGAGATGCAGCAAAGGATCGAGCACCTCAACGAGAAGCGTGCTTTGGAGACGAACGCCTTAAGGTCATATGCATATATATTAGCGGGCGAAGACGACGACAAACGTTGTCAGAGGCTGTTGGAATATGATGGCCCTCTCTCAGTCCATGTGCTGCTCTTTATTTTACGGCCGAATTCGACGCTGCGCCATATACCGATGCTTCGAAGCCTTATTGAACGCTTCAATCTGGACGCCACATTGTCTAGCAAAAACAGGCCCTCGATATCTCATACGCCATCGTCGAATTATGTCAAAATCCTGTCACTGCTGGAGAAACACCTAGCTCGCGCAGAGCCAAGATTATTAGTCAACCTGGCAGAAGCAGCGTCTGCCCACATGAAGAATTTCGTGGATAAAGGTGACCCAGAAAAGAGATATGTGACTTGCTGTCGACTTTTCAACAAAATGCTGCAGATTTTCCAGCCCGAACCGCATTTGCTCGCGAAGCAGTCACCTGTTGCCAACGCCTACTTCTGGGAATCCCAACGCATGCTACTTACAATGTCTGAAACGTTCGGACAGCCGCTGCAGGTATCTGGGAACGGCTTCCGTGCAATCCGGAGAACTCTTGCAGGCATGCCAAAGAACGAAGCCGAGAAGCACAGTGCGCTTCTGCATGCACCCTCTTGGCCACCGTATTTAACTCCTGGAGATGGCATGGACGAGATGACGGACCCTGAGGCCAACTGGAGTCGAACTGTCGAGGCAGGCATGCTAATGCAAGAGGCTGGTTTCGCAAAGTCCGAAGCCGATGACAGTCTGGATATACTCAAAGGAATGACACCCAACGGAACGCCGACAATACAGCAGCGCACGCTTGCGGGAAGCCGACCCGTTACCACGTGGGAGGCGTCCATCCGTGCCACGCGAGATGCCCACGAAGCGTGGGGGCGATTCAATGACCCCCCGCAGAAGGATGCTGTACCTGGAGTGAATGAGTATGCGGCCATGTTCGAGAAGCTCACGCTGAGGGAAGTCGCGCCGACTAGCAAGCTCCTCCCCGGCGACAAGGCACAGAACTTTCCCGCCTACCGAGCTGCAAATCTTGCAGACATTGAATGGGCAAAATTTCGACCGCCGAGCGTAGAGGAACTCTACGACCAGATGCGCCAACAAGACATTCTCCCTAGCGGTCACTGCCTTTTCATTCTGGTGTCCAATGCGCCTGATTTGAATACCGCTCATCGCTATCTGGAAACGGCTGCGCAACTCGACCCGGATATCTCTAGCCTCCTTGCTCCCAAGATTGAACGGTCTGCACTGCGCCGAGTTGGCATGGGGCTCTTCTCTGCGTACATCAGTATGCTTGCGAGGCGGGACGACTCCTGTGGGTGGGAAAACCTGCAGCGAGCGATTACCCTAGCGGAGGCGCGTATTGGCGACAAGCGCTCGCGCTGGGCTTCGCTGGTCTGGGGCGCCATCTTGAAAGGTGGCTCCAGGCATCACTCGGCGCTGCGAATGTCTCCGTCCGACCAAGTTGAGCTCATCATTGCGATTGCAAAACGGATTGACCGGGGCGGCAGGTTGAATCTGGCCAACTTTACGGAACTAAACAAGAGTATACGAAAGCTGATTCGCTACGATTTGCGCGCCTTGCTCAACGATTTGCAGCAAAGTGAGGCGTCAGATTTGATGTCCTCATCAATGCCACCGTTACGAATCCTATACGATGCTCTCATCTCCAACGAGAACAGAGTAGCGTCGGTTGGGGGAGAGGAAGGGCAAGCGCCCTGTATCCCAGGCACGCTGAAGTCACTTGTGGAGTTCATCAAAGCCGAGTTTGCCAAGCTGCAGGCGCAAGAAGCTTTGTACCAAACGGGGGCGCGCGACAACTACATATCGCCGCTGGATCGTATGCTGTCGCGAAACGACGTGGTTCGAAGCGAGCACGCGCTGGAGTACATGATGAGCATGGGGTACGCGGGCGAATACCAGGAGATGAAGAAGCTGCTCCTCTTCCTCATACGAGAATGGGGCCAGGCAGATCTGGTGCAAGACTTGGTTGCGCTCGACGAGTTGCCGCCGTCGGCTGACTTTTCGGAGCTACTGTGCGTGTTCCGGCTGCTGGGGGAGCAGATGCTGGGAGGGCCTACGGTTGCCAGGGAAGTGCAGGGCGCGATAGCAGAGTGCGGGCTGCCGTGGACGTGGCCAGACGGCGCGACGTTGGACGCGTATCTCCAGATGCACCAGCATGATTCGATCCGACATGTACGAACGATACTGGCCCTGATGCGGGCGCGAAAGGGCGCCGCAGCATAGGGGGCAGGACGGTTTCTGGTCATGCTGGGGGGCGCGAATGGCTGAGCGCTAGACTTGGACGGGCTGGGCCAGTAGCCACGAGGAGTACGGTGGCAGGAGAAATTAGTTACAGGATCAGTACCAGGAGGAAAGCAAACGGTGCTGTTTCAGGCGAAGCAATAACCGTGATTCCGCGTACCTGTGCCTGCTAGGCCGCGGCCGTTGGTGTGGTGTGCAGGTGTCAAGGTTACATGGCAAAGCTGTACTGGTGCGGCCGCAGAGCGGTTAAAACCGATCTTGTTCAACCCGGATACCCGGGCGCACTAGAAGGGATTTATTTACGAGATGGATAAAGGTGGCTTGTACAGTAGACTTTTTTGTATAATATGTATGTATGATTACAGGGCGCGGCGGCGTATACGGTGGAACGCTGAATCGAGTGTGGGATGGGTAGTGTGTGACGATGCGTCGATGGCTACCAGTGGATGGCCAGACCATCGATGATGAATTTGGTGGCGAATAAAAGAACAGACTGTTCTGGACCGTCAAAATGGATGCACTCGTGTTGGAGTAGAGGACTTGGACCAGTCATGATCAGGAGTTTGGTTGTTATCTAAGCAAACGGCCAGGGTTCAAGGAGGCAACTGTGGTGAACAAGAGCCAATAAGGAAGGAAGAAACGAAAGAGAAAATTAGATGATGAAGCAGGATCCATCCATACAGAAAACATTATAATCTTCAACTACCATGACCAGATGTTGGGCGCTTCGCGATCGAGAGGTGTAACAGGACGGACAGGCGGACAGGGACCAGGGTTGGCGGAGCGGAGTGGAGGAGAGCAGGCGATTGGCCGGGACGGCGCCAATCTGCGACGCAAGAGTAGCCGCCCGGAGTTTTTTAGTGGGCGGACAGGGGAGGTACCTATGTACAGAAGTATGTACCTATCTATGTATGTATGAACCTATGTATGTAAATATGTTAGGGTTAGGGGGGATGGGATAGCTGGAGACAAGCAAAGGCTCCAGAGGGTCGGGATTCAATTCGTTTGGTCTTGGCAAGGCAGGGCAAGGTAGCTAGGCGGCTGGGGAGAAGGCTCTTGATCCTTACAATTTTAATTTTACTTTTAATTTTTATTCTTCTATTTTTTCTCTTATTTCTCTTCTTCAATCTGTGAAGCTACTCAATCAATGGTCAAGCTCCCTCCCCCCCCGGAACCTGACCTGTGGCTCCGACCCGGACCGACCCTGCATCATCGTCACCCTATCGTCCGTACCACCACCACCACCACCACCACCATGCACCTGCCATGCAGCAGACACCCAAACGACTGCGCAGTAAGACGTCTCTTCTCTCGAGACGCGCCGACGATATAGTTATGGCTCTCCCTGCAGGCACCATCTGTCCGACAGTCAGTTCCCTCCCCTCCTCGCCTCCTGCTTACACACTCACCTCACTTACACTCACTCACACTCACACACCTCTCTGTCTGCACATTCACTTCTCCCCTTTCCCTTTACTATCCATCTTTCTCTTCCTTGCCTAATACTTTGCTACTTGCCTTTACCTTTTTTCCTTTTCCGGCTTCCTCTGTTTTGGCGCTTTGAGCCGGCCGGCTAGCCCACCAGTCTCTTGTTTGCCTGTTTTATCCTCCATCCATTCATTCATCTTACTGCATCTTGCCTTCCGACTGTCTGTCCCTCTTTTCCATTCGCTTCCGACTAGAAATAATACCTGCCAAACAGAACAGCATCACCTTATCCTACTTCTTGCATCTCGCTACACACGCGGCTCGCATATACTCACCCTAATCCACCTGCAGCCCGGGACGCTGCGCTGGTCGCCGCCGCAGATCCATCACCATGAGGCTTCTCGTAGCCTTTTACGCCCTGTGCTGGGCGAGCACGCTGCAACCGGTCGTCGCTGGTCCGCTCGGCCGGTTCAGCAAATGGTGTGTTGTTGCCCTCTGTCCAGCGTCGCGCAAAGGAAAGACGAGTGAGTGAGTGACTAACATGATTGCGCGCGTCCAGGTTGCCGCGATCCGATGCGAGCTCAGCAGCCAATGACCAGTCAAGGCAAGTTACATGACCGACAGACTCACCAAGACCCGGCCCCAGCTAACGTCGTGTAGTCAAAGCAATCTGGCGGAATCGCCCTCCACGCCACCGCCCTCACCCATACTAGTGACCTTGTCAGAATCTACCATCAACATCCCGAGCTCGCTGCTGCTGCGCCCGACGACTTCCTCATCAGTACCCTCCGTGTCGACGAATTCTGTGGTTCCAGTCGTTCCCTCGCCAACCTCAGCATCAATCCCAGTGCCTTCGCCCACCACCGAGAGCACTTCATTTCCCGTCACCACCACGCCCGTACCGGTGGAGAGCGCTTCGACTTCGGCCCTGGCTTCGCCTTCCACTGTGGAAGCTTCTCACTCGAGCGCCGCGCCCTTGTCGCCTTCTACGGAAAGTCCCTCCGTGCCGGCAACGAGCTTACCTTCGACGTCAGCGACCTTGTCAACGGCGATTTCCACCCCAATTGCCACCTCGAGCCCTGCCTCCGCGTCTTCATCCCAGATTCGGCCTCCACCGACCATCTCGTCTGCTGTAGAATCATCCTCCGAACCAGTTATCGGGTCTTCCTCGTCACCCCTGATCCCCTCCTCGGCTGTCTCCTCCAACTTGGAATCAAGCTCAACTCTAGTCTCCGGTCCTTTGCCCACAGCTCCCTCCAGTGCAGTCGAGTCCCGCCCGCCTTCCACGTCTACGTCAAGCTCGGCAGTGGCAAGTTCCACTACCTCGTCCTTTTCGAGTCCCTCTTCCTCCAATTCACCTCCATCTTCCAGTCTTAGCTCCGCGCCATCCAGGACGAGCATGGACACGAGCTCAGGGCCAGCGTCGCAATCTAGTTCAACGGCCGGAGATCCCTTGACCACTTCCCCAAGCTCAGGAGCTAGCTCATCCCTTGCCCTTCCGACTCCTGGGATCCCGTTCAATGGTACTGCTTCGGTCACGACATCGAGCCCCGATCCTAGTAGCTCATTGGAATCAACCGCGACTCCGATAGCCTCCACAGATTCCACGTTGCTGCTCTCAACTACTACCGCTTCCTATACAAGGCCCGCGAGCTCGGGCTTGGATTCAAGCACAAGCTCCGCACCCGGGCCCTCTCTCCCAAGCTCGACAGGAAGCATGGGCAGTTCGGCTAGCACACAGCTGAGCGCGAGCACAAGTTCCAGTGAAGCCTCGTCACCGTCTACCATTGCGACGTCATCGCCGCCCGCGACTCCCACCGACATCCTTGTCACAACCAGCACAGGTTTCACGAGCTCGACTGCTGTGCCATCATCATCGAGCACACTCATAACGAGCAGTACCAGCTCCACAAGCATAGTCACCTCGTCCATCTCCAAGACCACACCCGCCTTGTCAACCTCCTCCACCACTGCCCCCTCCTCTTCCGCGTTGGACACGCTCCCCAGCGTCATCATCGGGCCGTTGCCCACGCACAGCACCGCCGTCCCGCCCGCCGCCTACCGCTACAACCTCGACTACGCGAAGCAGCTCAACGCCGCCTTTGCAGGGCTCACGCCCGACTCGCCCTGCGAGCCCGGCAAGATGGCCTGCCTTGGCCCGCGCACGCAGGGTGGCTGCGCGGCAAATTCGCGCTACGTGCCCGTGCCGTGCGAGGGTAAGCAGATCTGCGTGGCCCTGCCCATGGCCACCGTCGACGGCGTCGTCATCGGCTGCTCCGACCCGGACAAGGCGATGGCGATCCTCAACAGTAACGGCCCGCCGTCTTCGTCGTCGCCGTTTCCTTCGTCCCCCTCCTCGCCGGCTCTGTCTTCCTTTACCAGCGCCACGCAGTCGCTGCCTCCCGCCTCGTCTGCCCCGGCCTCGTCTACGTCGACGCCAACATCAGCCCTGGCTTCGCCCCCGTCGACAACGACGACGACATCCACCTCGCAACCGGCAAGCTCACCGACGACGAAGCCGGACACGACATCGGTGATCACCGTCACGAGCGTGCGGACGTCGTACATTACCGTGACCACTGCTCCGCCCAGCACATCCACACCGCCCCCCTCGACATCGTCATCCGCATCGACTCCCGCACCGCCATCATCATCACCCATTCCAGCACCGACAACTTCATCCCCTCTGTTAGCGCCAACATCATCCCCCCCAGTCATGCCGACAACGTCGACCCCCCCAGCACAGTCGACGGCGTTCCCTCCGGCCTCGTCCCTGCCGGACAGCACAGCGGCGAACCCGGCCTGGCGATCCGGCGACGAAATCATCATCACGCGCCCCGCACCGCCGGCCTCGCTCCCGCCCGTCACCAGCAACGTCGTCGTGCCCATCAACAAGAACGGCAGCCCGACCACAACCGCGCGCGTGTCCCAGGCGGACGAGGACGCCGCGGGGCGGCCGCCGCGGACCACCAAGCTGGTCGGCGGCGTCCCGACGGTGGTGTACACGGTCACGCAGACGGCGACGGTGACGGAGCGCGAGACGGTGACCAGCCGCGAGACGGTGACGAGTCGCGAGACGGTGACGCTCATCATCACGCAATCCTTGTGAGGTGGTGGCAATTCTGTTCCAGGCAGAAGGGGGGGGGGGGATATAATTTTGTTTTTCGTCTTGTCGTAGATGGCTTCAGAAATGTACTTATTGTGGTATACTACATTACACAGATTACAAAGATTCGTGAGCCTGCTTGTTGTCTGTCGATTACTGTATTCTGCCGTTGCGGGCGTTCTTATTCTATAATAAATGACACGGTAACATGATGCAAAAAAGCCTAGGTATTAATGACATGGGGGGACTTTGAAGTAAGCTTTCCCTAGCTAGTCATACAATAGCTCGCGTACTCATGCCCATCTCCCTTTCCCCGACGCCGTGCAGAGTGCTAGTCCTGCGGCGAGCCTAAGCTGACGCCCCCTTCGGAGACGAGGCTGCGAACGCTCGCCGAGTCGTCCGGCCTCTGGTCCGTGGCCACCTCGAGGCGCTTCGGAGGCGGTCGCGTCCCCTCGCCGGCGCCGTCGTTGTCGGGCATGCCGCCGTGGCGCTCGGCCCAGAGCTGGCGCATCACCTGGTAGAGGAACGCGTACTGCTGGACGCTCTGGACCATGAACCGCCGCTGTCGCCGGAGCGCGTCGACCACCTCGAAGATGGGGTCTGCCGCGTCATCGTCCTCTTCGTCGAGGCCGTCGAGGGCGCCCGCGTCGAGCTCGCGGATCAGGTGCTCCAGGCCGATGAACGTGCCCGTGCGGCCGACGCCCGCGCTGCAGTGCACGAAGCGCGGCTCCTCGGCGCCGGTCGCCAGCGCGCGCGACATGCCCATGAGCGCGAAGAAGCTCGGCACGTCCGTCAGCGCGGGGGTGCCAAAGTCGGGCCAGCGCAGGTATAGCAGGTGCCAGACGGTGCGCGGAGCTTCCTCGCCGGCGACGTGCAGGCGCAGCTCGCGACGCACGACGGCGCCGTCGCAGAGCGCCTCGGTGGACGCGTGCGTCAGCGTCGCCGCCCAGCCGTCGCCCCAGCCGTCGCCGGCGTTGAGCGCCCAGGTCGGGTCGTCGTCGAGGAAGGGAAAGTACTGCGAGCACTTGACTTGCGGGCCCTCGTTCATGGGCGTAAGCTGGACAATAACGGCGGTCGAGGTCGTGTTCTCGGCGACCATGCGCCAGACCGAGTCGATCGACGGCACCGTCGGCCCCTGCATGGCGATGTATTTGTATGTAGGCGCCGCCTCATCCGTGGCTGCTACGGTGACGGGCGAGGCGTTGACGTAGTCGAGGGCGCCGTCTGGGACGTTGAGCTTGACCCGATTGTGGTTCCACGGCCGGATGTTGTAGTATCGGTCCATCACGTTCCTCCCCTGCTCATTTTCGTTTTGGTATACGATCCATTGCATCGTCTCCTCGTTGGGGTTTGTGGATGGGTAGGCTCTCGCGCCCTCTCGTTTTTGTAAATCTTGGAACCGCTCCTGAAGCTCTGTCTTGCCAGTTAGACTTGGCACGGCAACACATTCCTAGCTGAACCTATGGGTTCCCCCGTGGTTCCACAAGCTTACCAGAATCACTCTGCGTGAGAAAGGCAGGAATTCTCGGGCCCGGCTCCTCGCCCTGTTCGTCGTCTGCGGGCTTGGCGCAGGTGCTGACAGTCGCGGCGACGGGCTCGCCCAACTGGCTAGCCGCTGGCGAGCAGCTTCTGGCGCGCTTCCCACTGCGCAGTCGTCGGAAGGGCGACATTCGCGAGGGGAGACTGGGCGACTTGCTGGGCTTTGGCACCGCAGCGTTGTCGATTGTGAGATGGACTGTATTGCCCTTGGTGTCGGAGTCGATCGAGGTCTCGATGGCGGGCGGTTTCGGCTTGCGCCGCAGCTTGTGTATAGATATCTTGTCCATGCTCTGGGGAACTATGGAGTGTCTGGCTCGGATCTGGGTCGATGGGGCACCCTGAAGGAGCCTCTTGGCGATTCGAGGGTTGGTGCCAGCAAGGCGCATACACGGGATGCAGGGCGAGCTCGAGACAGCAGGTTCGGAGTGGCAGGTGCCTCCCAGGTGATGCTGCAGCCAAGTGCCGATTTTTTGGACGGTCAAGCTATTGCAAAGGGAAGATATAAAAGCAAAGGAAGTTGGGAAACGACAGAAGCCTCTGGAATAGGAGTGGATATCGCAAGGACAAAAAGACGATGTCGCTGTACCGTTACCGTCCACTCGGGTCACCAAAAAATCTGGGTGGATGCTTTTTTTGAGCCTAATCGGAACAAGGTGAGGTGAGGTGAGGTGAGGTGCGGTGACGACAGTAGCGTAGCGCTGGGCAGCGTCTCGTGTCGCCCCTGGACTAATAAGGCTGGGCTGGACTGAGGGGAAGTCATGAGGCATACTTGCACATGGTGAATAAATAATACTTAGAGTGACGGACGTGGGTAATCCGCCGTGCTAGGTAATAATAATTCGTACCACGCGCTGATCATGTTAGATATACGCGCGCATACGATCTATGCTAGAGTCTGGTTGGACCAAGGTACAGCCTAGCTACCTACTAAGTATATATATAGGTATGGAGGTTGTCTCGTGCCTCGCTACAGACGCCCTATTATGTACCTTGTCCAAACTGAGACAGACGCCCCAGACGAAACATGGCCAATCTACACATTGCCTTCTTTCTCTCATTGAATTTCCCGCATGACGAACCATCGTGTTTCAAGTCAAAGTGGGTATACATAAATGCTTTCCACTAGTTATCCCTACAACAGCCGCCTGATACCCCAGATAACCAACTCGCATCTGCCTGAATCATCAAACTTCTGTACAATTTATTGTTACATTACACAGCCAAACGACCGTCTGCACCTTAGACTGCCGAATACACGCCACTCACATATCTACCACAGACCACCCTTTGCTCGAGTGTCGCCTTTCTCCCCTTGCCATCGACACCTAGACGAGCAGTCTGTTTTGGCGTGAGACACATGCGGTGCACCTCGCCTTTCCTGCCCGTTTGCGCGTCGGCATCGCCAGCCTCCAGGGGCCCGATATAGACTGGAGAGTTCATATTCGTCCGCTTGCCGGTGCCCAGCTGGTAATGCTCGTTGCCGCCCCAAAACAGTACATCCGAGCCCCAGTCCGTCTCGTTCGCCGACTTCTTGCTGGCGGCGTTGCTGCTCGTCACGTTGTCCATCACGGCCGAGCAGTGTGTCGTTCCAATCTCCAGTCCTTTGACTTTGATGGGCCGCATCTCGTTCCTGCCCTCGTCAAACTCGTACAGGCCCGACAACCCCTTGACCTTTGTGGGTGCCGTCGAAACATGGGTCCATCGTCCGGTGCCCAACGTGCCGTACGTGCCCTGGCCAGCTGCCCATAGATCCGACGTGGCGCGCGGCATTGCCTTGGACGGCGTGGCATTCCCAAACTGCTTCGTGCTTGGTGGTTTGGCATCAACTGTGAAAAATGTATTAACGCCGCCCGCCGCGATCGAGGTCACATTCGCAACCAGACCGCTTTTAGCATATAGCTGGTTAGTTGCCACCATGTTGGGGACGTGGTTGACGGGCACCCCCTCTGAATCAAACCCCAGCTGGCCGAATGCATTGTCACCCCACGCAAAAATGCGACCCGCCTTGTCAAGAACTACGGAGTGGTAGTCTCCGGCGGCGATTTGCGCGATCCGAAATCCAGAGAGCTCGTTGATCTCCTGCGGCTGGTCGTACGCTCCGGCCGGGCGCGTGTCCCAGGACAGGCCGGGGATTCCCATCTGCCCTTTGGAGGGGTACGAAGATGCCGATGAAGCCACGGCAAAAACACGACCCTTGGATGTCAGGATGAGGGCATGTTCAAGGCCGCTTTTTACATCCGTGACATGTTCGCCCCAGCCTAGGCCGGGCGGGGTGAGGTCCCGGAAGTTGACCGCTGCTTTCCCAGAAGGGCTCCAAAGTGACCAGCCGCTCTTTCGCTCGTCCAGCTTGACGCCCCCTTCGACATCGTTTCGCGACGCCGGTACGGAGTACACGTTACCACCTCGCGACAGCGCAATGATTCGGTCGGCCGACACCTCGATCTTGGCCAGGTCTTTGCCGCGGAGCGTGACGCTGGGCTTGGGGTCGGTCTGCGAGAAGCCCGCGCCCCACTGGACCAAGTCGCCATCCTCCGTCACGGCGGCGCCAAACTCGGACGTGAGCTTCAGGTCGCGAAGCAGCAGGTCGTTAAAGTATGCGATGCGTCGGGGGAGCTTGATGTATTTCTCGTTAGATTCCGGGTCGATGACTTTGCCGGCGTTGGATCCCCACGCGTAGACTCCGGGGTGCTCGAGACTCCTCTTGATCTGGACATGCTGGGAGCTGAGGAGGTCGCGATACTCCTCCGCGGATGCGGCTGTCGGTCGGGCTTGTTCGAATTCCAACTCGGCCTTGGGTCGTACTTTCTCTTCAGAGTCACGTTCAGCTACAAAGCGCGGGTAGTAATATGCGCCAGCGGCTGCAGTGCCGAATACGGCAGCGAAGCCAATCAGCTTGCCCCCGCGCCGACGAGGAGGCCCCGTGAAGCGGACATTTGAGTACAGCGCACGCTGGTGGTGGTGCGCCGCGGCGCGAAGAGCTTGTGCGCTTCGCGTTAATACGCGGGTTGGACAATTCATTATTGTAGAGGGAGGAGTGGCATTGGTGTGGAATGTAGTGATGACCAGGTTGAATTGATTGATTGTGGCGAAGAAGTAGAGGATGGGTGTGCTGCACAAGTAGCCATGCAGTATCCACCTTCATTAAAATCGGCCCTAGTGAAGAAGCTGTCCAACGAATTACAGGTGGCTTATTGGTTAGCTGAATATCTACGGAGTACCTTGATTTATTTATTATTACCTACAAACTATTCTTGTCGCTGTTTTCGGAAGAATTCTAGCCCCGGCAACGTTCCGATTCGAACTTGTACGCACCCGGCGCTATTTGCTGCCAGCAAATCACCAGAGCACCACAACGCCAGCGAACGCTATGACAGCCTCATTGCCGGACCGTGTCAAGTTGACAAGTAGAGAACTGCCCAGTAACATGGACAGTTTCAGGGACAAGCATCTTTGCTAGTTAATACTCTAGCTGACACGCACGGCTCGCGCAATGCATCTGCGCTTATTGCCTGAAACCAGCACCTGCGAGCTGCGAGGCATCAGCCGTCAGATGTAGTTACATGCATAGGTACAATAGGTACATAGTTAGCGGGTGCTATGTACTGTATGTATGTATGTATGTATGTACCTACGACAGTGAGGACCACAACTACCCATGACGATACACATCACCAATCAGACAATCAGACAATCAGACAAGCACGTCAATCCGCGGTACTCCTCTTTCGTTGCTTCTATGACGCTTTGGAATCAATGTAGGTAGGGCCCTAGTTATGTAAACGAATGAGCTAGCGACTTTTCCACTTCTTTTTCCTCGTCTGGTAACTGACTCGGCTTACAGCTCTCCCGACACCAAGATTGGAGCGACTCCCACCCGATCGCAAGCCCGTGCTATCCAGAACCCACATCGCACGCACCCCAAGTCTCCGCCATCTTTTTACTGTTTATTTTATTACAAGTAACAATAATTAGCGATGTGTTACCCAATTTGTAAGATGGGCAACACTGTCCGAGGATCGGGATGTCAGAGAGGACCGTGTGTCCAAGGTCCGCTGTCTCATATCGGCGACCCTGTTCCATAATCTCGGAACCGAACCACACCCAGTATATATTATCCGTTGTCACTCCCCCTCCCGAAGCCTCATCCTGTATCTTTCTCAAGTACAGTAACATCGCCCAAGTAGCCCGTACTCGCTCCTGTCGCGCCAAGCCACTTGACCAATGGCTCTGTTTCCCTCGCTCCCTGCTGTCATCACAGCTCCGGCGACCCGCGCCGTCGAGGCCGCTCGGGGCGCCGTTGGCGGTTTTACATGGAAGCCGGCCCTCTCCATCGCCCGGCCCACGTTGCTCTCCATTCTCTCCAAAATCGAAGTCGGCACGCTTCTGCTGGTCGACGAGCCCGCCGGTACTCGTCATGTCTTTGGTCAGAAGCTTGACGGCACCGCCGATCTCTCCGACGTCGAGGCCAGCGCAACCCGCCGCGCAACGACTGTGCCTCGTGTCGAGGTTATTGTCAAGAATGATGCTTTCTGGATGCGCTTATTTCTTTTCGGCGACATGGGATTTTCGGAAGCGTACATGCTCGGTGACTTGGAATGTCAGGACCTGCCGTCTTTTTTTCAAGTACGATTGCCCTTTTTTATTACACCCATCTATCTCGTTTTCTTGGAATGTAATTATCCCGTGAGACCAACGGCAAACTAACAGCATGCAGCTCTTCATCGCCAACAGAGACCGACTAGGGAACGGCGCGACTTGGATATCCAGTGTCTCGGCCGCAGTTTCAGCCATTGCTCGTGCCAATAACGCTCTGGGCAACGCACTTCTCAACATCTCCGCTCACTACGACATAAGCAACGACATGTTTGCCGCCTTTCTCTCCCCCGACATGACTTATTCTTGTGCCGTATGGGAACGGCTGGACGACATCACCAAGACGGACAGCACAGAGTCACTAGAGAGTGCGCAGCTCCGAAAACTCCACCGCTTCATCGAAGGCTGCAAGCTGAAATCCGACGACCACGTCCTCGAGATTGGCACAGGATGGGGCTCCTTTGCCATAGAGGCCGTTTCCAAGACGGGATGCCGCGTAACCAGCCTAACACTTTCCAAGGAACAAAAGTCTCTGGCGGAAGACCGGATACAGGCAGCCGGGTTGCAAGATCGCATCACGGTGCTGCTGTGCGACTATAGAGAGCTAGAGCTACCTGATGGAAAGCGATTTGATAAGATTGTCTCCATCGAGATGCTCGAAGCTGTTGGGAGGGAATACTTGGCGACATACTTTGGTTGCATTGATAAGCTGCTCAAGGAAGATGGTGGCGTCGCCATGTTTCAGTGCATTACAATGCCAGAAGGTCGATGCGATACGTATGCAAAGACAGAAGAGTGAGTCCGCCTTCCCATTCCTTGCTATTTGTTCTCAATCGCTCATCGTTTCCCTAGCTTTATTTCACATTACATTTTCCCCGGAGGCTATCTCCCGTCGACTACAGAGCTTCTCAATCACATCACAACGCAGTCCAAGGGCACACTTATTGTCGAGAACATTGAAAATATTGGTGGGCACTATTCCAGGACACTGCGCTTGTGGCGCGAGCAATTTATGGACACGTTTGAGAGCAAGATTCGTCCAGCCCTCCTCCGGCAGCATCCGGACATGACAAAAGAGGCTATCAGCGTCTTCAACAGGAAGTGGGAGGTGAGCACCAGTGCCGTGATTTATCGAGGTGGAAACGCAAGACGTGCTAACAAATGGCAGTACTACTTTACCTACTGCGAGGCAGGGTTCATCACAAAGACCCTCGGCGACGTCATCATCACCGTAGGACGCGAGCGAACACTTGAATTCATGGAGGGCATTCCCCTGTAATGGCAGATTGATAGCGATTGCGTTTTTGGTTACATTTCATACACGATATTTATGAATTTATAGTCTCATGCGCTTTGGGGTATCGAGATGCAGCTTATATACATGATCCGTCTTTGCTTTATAACAGATCCTAGCCAAAACAAGAACAACACGAATTTCCTACCTCTTCTTGTTCTTTGCCTTCTTCGTCTTGGAGTCGCCCGTCATCGCCGACGCCGGCTTCGACGGATATCGCTGGGCGTGCTCCACGTCAAACTCGGACTTGTTGCGCCTAAACAGCAGCATCGTGACGCGCGCATCCTCCAAACTCGAGTGCGCGCCGCCCTGAATCTCCACGTTCAGCAGGTTCTGCGCGAGCACCCGGAGCGCCGGCTTGCGGCGGCGACCTCGCGGCGCACGTCGTCCGGTTCGCGCGCGAGCCGCATGTCCCGCGGCGAGATGCCGCTGACGGGCGTGCGCCAGTCGGTGACGCGCGAGGTGGGCCGCACGTACGAGTCGTAGACCTGCCGCCCGTGGAAGTCGACGACGCTGACGCGCGCGAGCGCCGAGGCGTGCCCGCCGGGCCCGACGCCGACCATCTCGCAGTCGACGGCGACGTACTTGCCGAGCTCCAGGCCGGGCGTCAGCCCGCGGTTGACCTGGTCGCCGCCGGAGCCGCCGGACAGCACCATGGAGGTGTCCCGGGAGCCGAGCTGGTAGGCCTCGGCGAGCGCCTCGGGGGAGATGTCGCCGCCGGCGGCCCAGAGAGAGGCGGAGGGTCGCACGCCGTGGTGCGGCTCACCCTGGGCGATCTTGCTCTGCGCGGCGCCCATCTTGCCGATGCCGGTCAGCTTCTTGAGGGTAGATTCCCGTGGGCGTTGGTTTGCCGTCGTGGAAGGCTTGCTGCTGCTGCTGCTGCTGCTCGTGGCGTGGTGGCTGCTCTTGGGCTTCTTCTTTGCTTTGGCCGGGGCGCTGGGGGTGTCGTCGTCTGCTTTGCGCTTCGCGCTGGGCTTGGCCTGCGATTCGGCCTTGAGCTTTTCCTGGAGTTTTTTCCAGTTGGAAGATAAGGCGGACATGATAGAATACCGGGAAGCTAAGTCATAATGCTGTTTAGGGAAGAATATTCTGCGGGCGATGCTGAGCAGCCAAACACGCATTACACATGGCGAAAGTAAAAAAAATCTCAGTTTGGCCGACGCTTTCATGGGGTATCTGTGGGCCAACGCCCACGGCCCAGAGAGCTTGATAGCGACTTACACGGGAGTCACCGATTAAAAGTCCAAATCGGGGGTTTTTTTTGTTTCGAAAACGAAGTTGATTAAATTTAAAAAAAAAAAGAAAAAAAAAAGAAAAAAAAGTACCTGCTAAATCTTTGCGTCCTCTACGATGTAAGAATTCTATTCTTAGTGCCACAAACACCAGTCAACTGCAACCGCGCCTTCTTCACAACAGCATCACTCAGGTCAGCCAAAGTATCAACCATCTCTATGCCAAAACGCTGGCAGACAACCTGGACATTTCCTCTCTTCCAGTAGCCCTCGGGACATGCAACGATTACCTTCTCCGGTGATTGCGTCGCCATCCCTAGCTCCAGCAAACTGATTGGAGCCTGGCTAGCGGGGTGAAAGAAGATGACAATGATATCAGACACGTCTTGTTTGTCCATTTCCCACTCCACCTGTTTAATAAACGATTCATTTCCAGCACCTACTTCCCATGAAATGTCCCAGTTACAGGGGTTGTATATGGTGATTGGAAGACTGCTGAGAGACGCAGATAGGCTTTCGCGCCAATCCACGCCATCGAAGGGGGTGGTGGTTCCGGCCAGAAAAACAGACTTGATGCCTTGGGGTGCGTCCCGTGAAGGGGCTTTGATTATTTCCATTTGTCGTTGGGGTGGTTTGCATAATGGGGGTGTAGACATCGAATTATCTACAGTTGAAGAATGGCCTTATTGCCCGCCAAAGCACCCCGCAGACTGGATGGACTTGCGCGTGGGGCCTCGCCACCGCCTGCCTAACTTGTCGCCACCCGCCACTTGAATGCATTTTGTGCCGTCGCGCGACCAGAAGAAATTCATCCTCTGCCACTTCCTTAGCACTTGTGTCGCATCGCATAGTCCTTGTCATTTTCATCAATCTTGCCCGCGCGCCAACCCTTTTTCATCAACATGACTGCAGGTCCATCCCATGGTGAACCGGCCGTCGGCGCTGACGTGCCGCGTCTCAAGTCTTTTGCTACCGCGGACACCCTCGCAACTGGTGTCATCGCATGGGTCAAGAAGGACGGCCAGCCGCGCCGCGCCGAGATTCTGAGCATCAAGCAGACCAAGAGCGGCAAGCAATTCTACTGCAATTTCGACAACTTCAATAAGCGTCTCGACGAATGGGTACCCCTGGCGCGCATCGACCTGTCACAGGAGGTAGAGTGGCCGAACCCCGATAAAGACAAGCCCAAGGAGGGAAACAAGAAAAAGGTGCTTTCGGGCGCGGTCAAAAAGGCAGTCCTTGCCAAGAAGAACCAAAAGCGACCGGGAAAGCGAGAGGATTCGATAAAATCGGAAGTGACGACACCGCATCCATGGAGCGACTTTGTTGAATCGCAGCGCAAGTCGGCCTCAGTCGGTCCCGATGGCGACTCGCACGCAATTGGCAGTACCGGCCCGGGTACGACCCCGGTGGCAACACCAGCTGGCGGTGACGAGATGGACATCGACGAAAAGGAGGACAAGGAGGACAAGGAGGAGTTCAGTCGTGAGGAGGAAATCGAGAAGCTGAGAACGCACGGCTCGATGACACAGAACCCGACTGAAGTGTCGCGTATCCGAAACATATCCAAGGTCCAGTTTGGCAAATTCGATCTGTTCCCCTGGTACTTTTCGCCGTATCCAGAGTCGTTCAGTGGCGAAGATATTATCTTCATCTGCGAGTTTTGCCTGAGCTACTACGGAGACGAGTTCTCTTTCAACCGCCACCGCCGCAAGTGCACTTTGCAACATCCTCCGGGCAACGAACTATACAGAGACGATTATGTGTCTTTTTTCGAGATAGACGGCAGACGTCAACGGACATGGTGTCGAAATCTATGCCTGGTTTCCAAGATGTTTTTGGACCACAAAACGCTGTATTATGACGTCGATCCATTCTTGTTCTATGTCATGGCTGCCCGCACTGAAAAGGGCTACCCGTTTGTCGGGTACTTTTCAAAAGAAAAGGAAAGCGCGGATGGTTACAACGTTGCGTGTATTCTGACGTTGCCACAATACCAACGAAAGGGCTACGGTCGACTACTAATTCAGTTTTCCTACGAGCTATCCAAGATTGAGGGCAAGTTGGGTTCACCTGAGAAGCCACTCTCCGATCTTGGACTGCTAAGTTATCGTCAGTACTGGGCAGAGAACATTCTGGATCTATTGGTTGGCGCGTGCGAGCGTGGCGAGAAGGTGACGATTGAAGCGATCTCGTCAGCGCTGGCTATGACTACGGTAGACGTGGAGCACACGTTGCAGGCGATGAAGATGCAAGTATACCATAAGAGTGACCACAAGATCGTCATCCCGCAGAAATTGATAGAGCAGCGAGAAAAACGACTGCTCAAGCCAAGACGGACACTGGACCCTGCCAAGGTGCAGTGGAAGCCGCCCGTGTTTACGGCGTCCAGCCGTACATGGGGATGGTGAACGCGGGCGCGGACCTTTCAGTTTCCATTTTGTAGCGGCGTTTTCAGCTTAATCTCAATACATCATGATACCCTTTTGTAAACTAACACTTGTTAGCGAATCACAGCGAAATGGGGAAGTTCCCGTGCATGTAATACACAAACTTATTGTTTGGAGCAGGTGTGAGCGAGCGTATAAATGTTGTAGAGTATGTCAAGTTAGGCAAGCTGACTACGGAGGATCTATTGGCATCGTTCTCAACGTCCACTTGGACCGTCAAACTTTACTTCCCGGATTGCTTCATACCATAATCCCGCTTGCTAGTCTCACGGACTGTCACCCACGTTCTCCAAGTCCATGGAAAGGCAGCAGTGATATTTATTCAGCTACCAATTGCCACAGTACATTTATATTTGCCAGCATCTTAGAAATGCGGATTGTCCTGTTTGCGTAACATTCTAGTATTTACCGAATCTCGCAGATAATACCTGCCCTAAAGAGATGGAAGGTATCGAGTGAAAGGCCGGATGATCAAGGCGACAAGCTCGTAGTTTTTTTGCTTTTCTTTCTTTTCTTTTTTTTAAAAAAAAAAAAAAACATAGAGCTATGGCCTAATAGAAACTATCAGCAGTATTTCTACAGTGCCTGGTATCGATTAACTTATGAGCTCCCGTTTTTATCTCACCGTGTCAGTATCTACCTATAGGTACCTAGTAAACGGCAAATGCAACAACGACTGCTACCCACTATGACGCGCTAAGAAGCCACGCAGCCTGTACGGTCACAGCTTGTGTCAACTCATTGACGTCGTTTCAAATATATTTTGGAGCACAAAGACAGCCTCAGTCCGGCTGTTCTTCCTTTGCGCACAGCGTACTTCCCATTTCGAATCTAGACTTATCGAAAAAGCACCAGGTCGACATCTGGAACGACGCCACCCGCTTCAACGGGACCATGGTCTCGCGATGGCTTGCCGGCTTGCTGGCGGCTACCGTTGCTGTTCGTGCAGACGCCGGCAAGCAGAAGCAAGCACCCCTCAGCAAGGCGTGTCCGAATTATGCCACTTATGCGGCCCATCCGCAGTACGTTTTTACATACCGTCATGCGCCAATATGGATCGCCGTTGAGGCAGAGGGAGGAATCACAGCCCGCAGTGGCAACGTCGTCGTCGAAGTGTAGCTAATACTCGGACAGTCAACCTCTTAGCACAGGCAAGCTTCAGCTACCATTCCAAAGACCGTCTCCCGAATGCCGAACGTTTCACTCCGATGCCATCGAAGCGGTCATACACGACGTCACCTCCCGCATCCAGGACGCCGACCTGGCGCGCCTCTTCGAGAACGCATTCCCTTCCACAACCGACACGACGGTCAAGTTTCACAGCAAGGACAAGGACCAGGGCTTCGTCCGCATGACGGGCTCGCGCTGGGCCGAGGACAACGACGCCTGGAACGGGCCGCAGAGCTTCGTCATCACCGGCGACATCATCGCCGAGTGGCTGCGCGACTCAACCAACCAGCTGCGCCCGTACCAGGAGCTGGCCACCAAGGACCCGGCCATCTTCGAACTGATCCTCGGCGCCATCAACACCCAGTCCGAGTACGTCATCGCCGCCCCCTACTGCAACGCCTTCCAGCCGCCGCCCATTAGCGACCTGCCTGTCACGGCCAACGGCCAGGATGACGTCGTGTACCCGGCGTACGAGCCCTCGGCCGTCTTCGAGTGCAAGTACGAGCTCGACTCGCTCGCACACTTCCTCAAGCTCGGCAACGACTTTTACGAGCACACGGGCTCGTCCGACTTTGTGAACAAGCGATGGCTGCTGGCAGTGGAGGCTGTCCTCGATGTCCTACAGGAACAGTCGAGCCCGACGTTTGACGAAAACGGCCGCTACGTTAGGAACAGCTACACCTTTCAGCGCAAGACCGATACGGGCACGGAGACGCTCAACCTGGCCGGCGTCGGCAACCCGCTCAACGGCGGCACCGGTCTGGTGCGATCGGCATTTCGCCCGAGTGACGACGCAACCATCCTAGGCTTCTTCATCCCCGCCAACGCCATGATGTCCGTCGAACTGGGTCGCGCTGCGGCCATGTTGAACAAGATTGGCAAGGAGACTGCTGGCGCCGAGCTCGACAAGTGGAGCAAGAAGATGCGAGATGGTGTCATGGACCACGGCATCATTGAGCACAAGACTTTTGGCAAGGTCTTTGCCTATGAAGTGGATGGCTTTGGCTCATCCATCATCATGGATGATGCCAACTACCCTTCGCTGCTGGCTTTGCCTTTGATGGGCTTTGTCGATGTCAAGGACCCCGTCTATCAAAACACACGCAAGATGCTTCTCAGCAAAAAGGGAAACCCGTACTACCTTACGGGTAAGAAGTTTAAGGGTATTGGCGGTGAGTACAGAAGACCCGTCTCTGAGTTGAGCCGCACCTAACTTGTTGATCCTGTAGGTCCCCATATCGGGTTGAAGAATGCCTGGCCGATGAGCTTGCTGGTACAAGCTCAGACATCCGACGACGACGAGGAGATCATGGAATGCGTCAACATGGTCCTCGGCGCCTCCCTCAAGGGTCTGGTCCACGAGAGTGTCGACGTCAACTACGTCTCCCAATACACGCGCAGCTGGTTTGCCTGGGCCAATGGCGTTTTTGCCGTGACCATTCTCGACTTGGCCAAGCGCAAGCCGCATCTCATTTTCGGGAGCGGTGCTGAGCCCTACGATATTGGTGCGACTGGAGGGAAAGCTTGAAGCTTGTAGACTAGAAACTAGAAACGACGTGTATAAAATATCCTATGATGCTCCAAGTGCTTGACCCTGTGCGATGCTGTGACTGGTTGTGGTGGACGATGGAGTAGAATGCTGAGTAAGGATGAGGTGCATTTCAGTGAGGGGAACTGTCGATTATAGGACGGTGTCAATCATTGTATAGACGGTGTGCTATTGAGCCCCGAAAGGATATAGCAAGAATGTATGGAGAGATGTGCGGGATACATGTATGCTCGACACAGCCGAGATTGTAGGGAGACACAGCATACTGGCTTGGCAGCAAGAACGTCCTCAAGTGGCATGAAAACATCCGGATCGGTGTGTATAAACAAGGCAAGTTTAACTCTTTGACTATCTACCCAAAATCTAGAAAGGTCTAACCATGTATTGATGAGCGTTGGGAGAGGTCTACCAGCACACCAGTTAACTCCGCCCGGCTCCGTCCCCGGTCGCTCACGGCTCCAGCTCCACGGTGCCGACCTTGACGCCAAGCGCAGCGTAGACGGCGCGGCCGTACGCGACCGTGTTGGGGTTCCCGAGCGTGCCCGAGTTGATCCACATCTTGTTCATGGTGTACGAAAAGGTCAGGCGGCGCTCCGTGTCGGCGGCGACCATGGAGCCGCCCCAGCCGCTCCAGTAGCAGACGCGGCCGCGGGGAAGGATCTCGTTGACGGCCGAGTCGCCGGCCGTGCAGATGCCGAAGCCGATGCCGAACTGCACGTTCCTGTGGATGACCATGTCGACGCCGTGCGCCTGCTCCTGGAAGATGAGGTCAATGGTCGCCGGCGAGAGCAGCCGCACGCCGTCGACCTCGCCGCCGAGCGCGATCGCGGACATGATGCGGGCCAGCGCGCGCGAGTTGGCGTGCCCGTTGGCGGCGCCAATCTCCGCCCGCCGCCAGCCGGGCGTGTTGGCCGCGTTGGCGTTGGGCGCCGGGTTGCCGAGCGTCTTGACGGTGAGCTCCGGCGCGCCGGGCGGCAGCGCCATGTCGCCGTTGCTGTCGCCGGTGTCGAGGGTGGCGACGCGCGGCCAGTCGGGCTCGGCGGCGCCGAGCTGGAAGTCGACGCCGAGGGGCGCGGCGATCTCGTCGGCGATGAACCGGCGCATGGTCTTGCCGCCGGTGACGCGCACGACGAGCTCGCCGAGGAGGAAGCCCATGGTCAGGCTGTGGTAGCCCGAGGCGGCGCCGGGCTCCCACCAGGGCGCCTGGGCGGCGAGCAGCGCGGTGGCCTTTTCGCGGTCGTACAGGTCCTCGCGCGCCAGTGGCGCCTCCCAGCCGCTGAGGCCGGAGGTGTGCGACAGCAGGTGGCGCACCTTGACGTGCTCCTTGCCGTTGGCGGCGAACTCGGGCCAGTAGGTGGCCACGTTCTCGTGGACGTCGAGCAGCCCGCGGTCGACGAGCATGAGGATGGCGAAGGAGATGATGGTCTTGCTCGAGGACCAGACGTTGACGATGGTGTCGCGCTCCCAGGGGGCGGTGCGCTCGCGGCTGGTGTGGCCGCCCCAGAGGTCGACGACGTTCTCGCCGTCAATGTTGACGGTGATGGATGCGCCGAGCTCGTCGCCCGAGTCTAGGCGCTGCTGGAAGATGCTGCGCAGCTCGTCGAAGCGCGGGTCGTTGGTGCCTTGAACAGTCGCCATTTTCTTGGTAGCTCTTTGCTTGGTGTTTCTAGGAAGGAGAGCGGTTTACAGTGTAACTGAGGATGACCCTTTCTGGGCAGCCCGAGCACATACGTGGCAGTGTATTTATACACTTATACGAACCGGGACTAAATGTTCGGCCCGGGGCTGTAGGGGCCGGGGATGAAGTGGAAGTGGCCGTCCGCTTCACCACTAACACAACAAGGCCGCATCCCTGCTCAAGGAGAGTTGATGCGTCGACAGCGGTAACTAGTTGGTGCATAACAAGCAACCTAATGGAGCTTAGGTAGTAGATCCATTTCGCAGACAAGGCTCTCATTAGTATGGTTTTGCTAATACAAAATAAAAGGCGCATGAGTTCCGCGGAAAAAGACGTGGTTGCGTAGTAATAGCCAGGGCAATCGGACTTGTCCAAGTCCGCAACCTTGTCAGAAAGCAGAGAGGTGGATAACACGAACTCGGGCGACGGACTTTCCAGCATTACTGAGAGCCCGTGGTGGCTTGGAACAAGTTTGGGCTGTCTTCTGTACCTAGGTAATAGTTTCCTTCACAGCCCCCCTCCCAGCCTCCATCCAATGAACTAGTTAGGTCAGAGACCCCGATCAGTCAACTCCTGGTCCTTACCGAAAATAGGGCGTTATTGCGATTGGGATATCCATCCCGATTCACAACCCCGCACCCCCCTCCAACCAACCCTGACCCTTGCTGCTCCCGGCCCCCGATGCAGAAGACCCAAATCAACTTCCTCCGCGGCTGGCCGGCCCCCGATGGCCGGCCCCCGAGCTGCTCCCCGCCGAGCAGCTCGCGGCCGCCTGCCAGCGCGTGCTGCGCGCGGACCCCGCCGTCTACACCCCGGTGCTCGAGTACGGCGCCGACGAGGGCTACGAGCCGCTGCGCCGCGGCCTGGCCGCCTGGCTGGCCCGACACTACCGCGTCACCCCGGACCCGCGCCGCATCTGCATCACCGGCGGCGCCAGCCAGAACCTCGCCTGCCTCCTGCAGAGCTTCACCGACGTCCACGTCACCCGCGCCGTCTGGGCCGTCGCGCCCGTCTACCACCTCGCCGTGCCCATCTTCAACGACGCCGGCTTCGGCCCCGGCCGCGTCCACGCCACCCCCGAGGACGAGGACGGCGTCGACGTCGACGCCCTGGAGCGCAAGATTCGCGCGCTGGAGCGGGAAGAGCAAGGCAAGGATTTCGGCAAGGTGAGTCCTTCCCCCGTGCTTTTGTTTCCTTTCTCCCTTACAGGAACAAATCTGATGGGGTTTTGATAGCCGAGCAAGCGGCCCGACCCGAAGCGCAAGTTCTATCGGCACCTGATCTACGTCGTGCCGACGTGCGCCAACCCTTCAGGCAAGTCCATGCCCGTCACCCGTCGCGAAGCCCTGGTCCAGCTGGCGCGCAGGCACGACGCGCTGATCGTCTGCGACGACGTCTACGACTTCTTGCAGTGGCCGCTCGAGGGGCCCGTCACCGCCGCGCGCCCGCCCGAGATGCGCCTGCCGCGCCTCTGCGACATTGACCTCTCCCTGCCGCGCGCCGCCTCCGACCCCGCCGGCTTCCGCCACACTGTGAGCAACGGCTCCTTCAGCAAGATCTCCGGCCCCGGCGTGCGCACCGGCTGGGCCGAGGCGTCGCCGGCCTTCGCGGCCGGCCTCGCCAGCACCGGGTCCACCCGCTCCGGCGGCGCCCCGAGCCAGCTGTGCGCCGGCATGCTGTGCGACCTGGTCGACAGCGGCGCGCTGGAGCGCAGCATCGACGAGGTCCTGCGGCCCGCGCTGCAGCGCCGCCACCGCCTGCTGCTCAACGCGGTGCGCGCGCGCCTGGCGCCGCGCGGCGTCACGCTGCGCGAGTCCAGCCTGACCGGCGGCGGCGCCGGGTCCTTTGGCGGCTACTTCTTGTGGCTAGGGCTCGGGGAGGGCAGCGGATACTCGGCGGACCTGGTCGCGCACGTGGCCCGTGAGGAGGAGAACGTCATCATCGGCCACGGCAACATGTTTACGGTGCAGGACGAGGAGACCAGGACGTTGTTTGAGGATCGCTTTCGGCTGTGCTTCTCGTGGTTGCCGGAAAAGGACCTGGAGGAGGGCGTCGAGAGGCTGGAACAGGTCTTGATCCGGATCGAAGAGAACCGGGAGCACTATAGAGCGGTGGAGGACAGATTGCTTGGTGAAAATGCTGACATGAAACAACATGTATAACCACGCTGCTGGGAGCAAAAAGACGTGAAAAAAAACCCCCAAGAGGATAGACAAGACAGAGCGAAAACAGCCAGCCTCGACGAAGAGGCAAATATCATTTAATTATTACACATGCACTGGCTACTTCTTTGCGAAAAAGGACATGATGCTTCCCTGGCTGCCTTTGGCGGCCGGCGCTTTCTTGGACTTGGCACCCGAAGAGGCGGGCGTAGAACTTGGCGTCTCCTTCTTCGCCGGAGCGGGTGTATCGTCTTCTGAAAAGGATTCCCACGCAGCCTCTTGGATCGTAACTAGTTGAACGTTAGCAATTGCTGCATGCGTTGGAGTTCCACGAAAGGAACCTACCCATATATCCTTGGTCATCCAAGATTCGCTTTTTCTTCATTACGCGACGCTTGCCACGCCGACGGCCATTTGAGGAGGTAGAAACCACCTCCTCCGGCTCTTTCTTCTCTTCCTTCATTGGTTCTGGTTCTGGCTCGGGTTCTGGCTCCTCCATCTCGGCATCTTCCGGCTCCTTGTCTTCATCTTCCTCCTCTTCTTCATCGTCTTCCTCCATCATTCGCCGCAAATCATCTTCGCGCTTTCTCTTTGCTTGCCGCAAAGACTCGGTTTCAGCAGCGGTCTTCTGCGGAACAGGCATGTCGTCCGCGTCAGCCTCGCCATCATCGCTCAGGGCCATGGCTGTATCCTCCTCCTTCTTCACCGCTGGCTTAGGCTTTGGAGGCTTGGAGGCCGCCTTGGCAAAGGACTGCATGATACCGCCAAGAGCCTTCTTAGGCGCGGGTGCGCCTTTTGACACGCTAGATGATGGCGTCTCTTGTTTGACAGGCGCACTCGGAGCCGGCTCTTTTTTGACGGGGGTTGGAGCGGCGGCAGATTTGGCGACAGGTTTTGCGGCTGGTTCAGGATTATTTACGGCAGCCGGTTTAGGAGCCGGCGTCGGTATGCCCTTCTTGCGGTCTCTCCGTCGGGTGTGTGGGTTGTAGATGGCGCCATACTTTTTGGATAACGTGGCAGCATCCTCGTTTGTGGAATACTCAGAAATGGACTTGGAAACATCGGCCAGCAAGATGAAATCTTTTTGCGGATTGGGAGCCAAACTGTAAATGTGAATAGCTGTGACTTTGCTATATTGAGCGAGGGTCCCTTAGAATCATGTTAGTCGGTAGAGGGAGGGCGGATCAGTAGATGCAAACCTTTAAGCTTGTCATCTGCGACCAGAGTCATCGTCATGGTTGGGACATTGTCAGTTAGAGGCTCTGGTTGAGAGCTGCCCATGTCGACATCAACATCCGGCTGCAGAGCTGCGTCCTTGACTCCATGGACGAGGTAGGTGGCGTGAACGGAATCGGCACGTAGCTTGTTCTGATATGTGTAGAAGTCATAGAGCATTCTGACCTTTGTTAGCGGTGAATTAGAATATTTTGACCGTGGTACATACTCCTTTGCTGTATTGACATTGACGTCCAACGCGCGGCTCAGTACGCGATAGGTAATCTTTCCTCAGTTAATTCATACGGACGACGTGGCAGAGCTTGGGTTAGACTTACTGGGCGCTCCTCGCTCAGTATGCGATCGGCAAGAAATTTCTTGTGTTCATCCATCTGTAAACCCAACGAAATCCAGGAAACCCGATAAATTGGGCCAATTCGAGCCTGCCTTTGACGGTGACAAGATTGTTCGCAGAGGCTCTGGGAGACGCGTGAAGTGGAACGCGTCCGCACGTGACGCCATCGTCATCCACTGAAGAGGGCCAGATTCAGCGACGAGGCCACTGTAAAGAAACCGCCAGACAACGCTCACTGCCGTTTTAGCGCACGCTTTGGTTAGCACTCACCGCCGCCACTCCAGTGGCTCGAGTTGCTAGAGGCTGTATTTCGTGTGTCGCTGTCCGCGCATCCGTTTTCTGATTCGCCCTCCCGCCCCGTCACGTGCGCTGGCCGGCCCATGCTGCGGCCACCCCAGCTGACCTCTTCCAGGTACCTGACCCATCTGGCTCGAAGTACCTTCACCATCCCAGCTTTGGTTCATTGTTCATCATCACGACCTTCAGCCTGCACTTTTCTCATCTACCTCGTTCTGCCTCCTTCTACCCCTTTTCCTGCGCGGCCAATGGTAAAAATGCCGCACTGCACCTATCTGCAGCCTGACGTACTATACTGAAACGCAACAAGGATTCTCGCTCGGGTCTCATAGCATCAAAGCTGCTCGCGCTCACATTCGTACTCGCGTGCTGGATGTCGAACACAACGCCGTACACGGGGCGCGAGTAGGCTTTGCGCAACCACCACAGGTAATTCTTTTACATGCTATGTAGCTCTTGTCACAGAGGTAGAGGTGGTGAAATTATAAAACGGTGACGGTTGCCTTACACTGTCAGTCCCCAGGTCGATACTGCTGCTCGTGTCCCCTTACAAAAAAGCCAAAGGTATCCTTACTTGCGATGCCGGTCACGAAGTCACACACTTGCGCGCCACTATCTAGGGCCTCAATATCGAGTCAAAAGACTTTAGATAGCGAGGCCATTGACATTTCCTCAGACGATGGAAGTGCCTCCAACAACACCTCCGCGAGCTCAAAACCGTGTCCCAACCCGCTAATTGAAACGAGAGAGCCGGCTAAGACAGGTAGGCCTACCATCAACAGAGAAGCTTTGAGTGTTATACTGACGAAGGTATCAGCGATTGGCCTTTGGCTGCATGACTGCGGTCACTGTAAGGATGTGGACGCGGGCGGCGAGCCAATTGGCGAGGGTGACAGTGGCCCTAGCGGGCTTGACTCGGTCGTTGGTAGCGACCAACCCCTGGCGCACATTGGCAGTACTTCGTCTGTCGGGCAGACGAACCCTGAACTATCGAGTCAGCAACTTGTTGATGAGATACCTGACTCAGAGGAAGATTCCGACGATGGGGAACTTCGAGTGGATGCCAACACAGACACGGAAACGAATAAAGCCAGTGAACTAACTAGAAAAGGAAAATGGGATGGGCTGCGAGGCAGAGTCGCTGTAGGGAATATGCCACCCAACAAGTGCAAAGCTTCTATCGAGCCATCAGAACAGAATGTGCCTAGTACGGAGGACAGACAAAAACGGCCACGGTATAGAGTTGAAATGGTCTTTCGGGTCAACCCACCAATAATTGAAGGTGACAGACATCCTCCGAGAGACGAGGTTAGGGAATCATAACGGAGGTTGTGGCCGTTTATAGGGGGTTTTCAACACCATTCGGCCAGAGACGGTGCCCGAGCATGTGTTCAGGAATCTCAATATAGGTACTTACATAGCAATTGCATTTATAGCCTGAAATATATACGACTAGTCGCTATATCTCCATACCATTCCTTCCTCTTTCTCCATACTCCGTAGAAAGCCCCAATTCGGGATGATAGCCTTCACGATAAGCAAACATCCCTCATTCGCCTTCCAGGGTCGAATGCACGCATTACTATGCTTGAATAAGTCCTCCCCTGACAGAGCCGTCGCCTCGGTTACAGATTTAAACAGTTTGATGATATAGTCTATTTCGGTCTTCTTATCGTCTGCTCCAAATCTGTCGGCGTACAGCGCGTAGGCATCTGCACGGCCATAAAGCCGCACTTTGTATGATGGGAGTAGATCGCGAGCAGTTGTTCCCACCTCCACGAGAAGGATATTCACTTCGTACGACTTGACTTGTTATTCACGATTCTATTATAGCGCTGATAGCACTCGCCTCATTGTCTGAAGGCTTTTGAAACCTTTCACTTTGCTAAATGCAAGCCATGGCGATTTGAAGTAGCTAACAAAAGCAACAGCGTTTATGGCACTATTTATAATACTGTCGGTCTATAGTATTTCCAATTTGACCCTAGAAGCATCCGTCCCGCATAACAAGGATCTAGACCACGAATAAGAGCCATCTCGTCATCCCCATGACTAGTAAGAAATATGGTCTTATCATTATAGAGCTTCTTTAACCCAAACCTTCTGATCGCAGGGCGGGTTTTGACAGTCCTGGACTACTTCCTTCCTACATGGCAAGCCTGAAATAACTGGGCAAGGCGTACGCTTGTTTTTAGCGCTGTCACACCACACTTCCGCGCGCTGTGTAGATCGATTTCGCCTCCCACATCGGCCACAGCGATATTCAACGACGCACAAGGAACACATTATCTAAACAGGTTAATCACATAGATAACTAACTACCACACCATAACTTACTTAATATAATGAGCTGTAAAATCAAGTATAGAAAACGATAGAACCAGATTTATAATAAGTAGAGCATGTCGATAATAATACGATGGGGAGGCGGGATATATATAGTGTAACTAAGTTGCTCGTTAAGAGTCTATAGCTTCATGGAGTTATTACTTGGAGGGAGCCGGCTTGCCTTCGCCTCTCGCCCTCGGCTTGACGGCGCGCCCTTCGTATCTGCAGAGCTTATAGCAGGAAGAAATCAGCATATCTCATTCGTCATATCGCGCGAGATCTTCCGCTCTTGTCAACAGATCATCGGCCTTCTGGTCAAAAACGGCGTAAGTTTTTTCTTTGGGAGATGGTGTGTTTACCACAAATAATAAGCAAAACGAAAGTCTGCGAGTACTACCAACACCTTGATGCAAGAAGTTGTGAAAGGCCGCTAGTAAGTTGATTCAACTATCTAGTTCCTATGCTGTTTTCTATCAAGATGAAGAGGAAAGAAAGTGAATCAACTTTATGAGAGCATAACAGCACTTCTATAGCTTCGATCAATGGAAGGTTCTAGAAGCTCGGCGGCACAGCCGCCGCTCAAGCGGCTTGCCCGTTACACCGACGGACTGGTAGCTATGAAGCAGCACGAGTGTTCATATGTAAATTAAAAGAAGTAAAAATTAAGGCTAATCTGAACTGAAAAGACATTGAATACTGCTATTCCTCTTCATCCTTTCCATCTACCCATTCGTCTGGTCGCGTCAACTTCGCAACAAGCTTCCGCGATTTTGGAAAGTCAAACTCCGGAGTCACCCTGTTGATCATCACACGGGTATCTCCATCTATTCATATGCCAAAGAATTTGGAGTGGAATAGCTTAGAAATCAATGATGGGGCAAAGCGTTGATCGGGCAATAGTCTCGTTGCATTTTCAAGTTCGTTGTCCGTCGACTCACCATCCGCCGACTCACCCACACGTTCCGCGTATAATGCCGGGCTATCGATCGACCCTAATAGTTCCACGTAATAATTCTTAAGAATATCTGTCGTAGTTTCACCATCTATGCGGTAAATGTTAAGGAGTATTCGATGCTATTACTATTAGTTATTATAGTAGTAAAATAAAGGTGAAGGTACCTCTTTTTTGACCTCCTCTTTGCTTTTTTGACAATGCTCACTTCTCCAGATGTATGGCATAATGAGTCTATAGAATCTTTCATCGACTTCAGCTGACTGGGTCCAGCCGAATCTAGGGTTGCCACGAAGTCAATATCTAGTAGGCAAAGTTGAATCATCATAATACATTATCTAAGGCAACGTGCTACCTCTTTTATATGCAGTGTAGATATGTTTGCTTAGCCAGAGTCTCTGTTGTAAGCCATTAAAAATTCCACTCATGGTCTGCTCCCAGCTCTTCACTAGCGAGTTAGTTCAGTCAACGCTCTTTCTGACTAACGCTGCCCTGCGTGACAAGTATGCGAGACCTGGGAACCAGATTTATGCCTTGCTAGCCTGCCCCAGTGATCACAATTTGCACATGTGCTCATGGTGCCTCTATCGACTTGCCAGTTTTCACTTTGCCAAATGCACGCCATGAGATTCTGAAGTAGCTGTAACCTGCGTAGGTTGTCACGCATCTAGAGCACTATTCATACTAACGGTTTATGATATTTGAAACGAACAATTTCTAGTCTGCGCCTAACTGGCCGACATGCTGGAGAACACACAGCTTTGACAATTATGTAGCTGTCCAACCTCGTGTCTGCCGATTGAAGGGGTTTCGAAAGCGCACCCAATTGTGTCTCCGAACGCCAAATATTCAACCGGCTAGCAGTCATCGATAGTCTCGCCGAATGCGGCAATGATACGGTCATAAAGCCGTCCCGGATCTCCATCTGGTGTTCCAAACATCAGTCTTGCTGTATCTCCAAATAATATGGACCGAATGCGCAAACACAGTGGTTTTGCGATATTCAATGACACCGGAAACTCGTTCATAATGCGCTCGAGGCTGTTCACCGTCATATGGCCTTCCTTGGCGTCGGCAATATCCTTGAAGCGCCCGATCTCCCATTTGCGCAAAAGGCTTTCTTCTGGCGCTGTTTCGCCCTCTCCACAGAAACGTTTCATTTCATCCCATGCGCAGCGTGCGCACATCCATAGAAGAACGTAGAAAAAGGATTCCAAGTCATGGCGATAGGTGTGGTCTAGGCCGCGGAGCACCTCAATTGCCATGAACTGCATCGTACCTGTCCGATGGCGTGCACCGCTAGGACCGCTATCTCGTTTCTTGGCAAGATCAAGGTCGATGAGCATTCCTTTGAAACCATCGGCCTTCCCGGGACTTGGTATGATGATGTTGTTCGACGAAATATCGCGATGTAGTATCCCACCCTTTAGGTAAAGGGATCGGTGCGCTCTGATGGCGTCATGGAGTGCTTCGAGCAGCTCTCGGATGGTGCTGAAGTCGCTGAGGACACGTCCCGCAGGGGAAATGACAAGGCAGGATAAAATGCGATTCTCGTATGGGTCCTCTCGGTTTGGGGTGTATATGCTCGACTTCGCTTCGCCGCTCGCTTCGTCTCCGCTCGATTGATCGTACGCTTGCCTCGGTGTAGACTTTTGACTGTTGGACTGCCGCGTCGTGCGAGGACGCGGATTGTCTGAGGACTTGCGTTTTCGGCTGGAGCCGCTGCTCTCCGAGCCCTGCAGGCGATTGTACCCGCCTGATCGTTCGTGGGCTGTCGCTCGAAAGGCATGCCGTGTGTAGCTGGAAAAGACCAGGCCTGCTCGCAGTGCAGCAATGCTGGTAATCTCGCGATGCCCTACCAGTGTAGCAACGCCTTCCACACCCTTCTCCTGTGCCAGCTTCAGATGCTCCACTTCGGGCGGTTGGCGCTTATCTGAACGCCAGGAAAACTTAGCCACACCCTGCCTCGTCAAGAAACAGGCTGTTCCCCTGCATACCACGGCCCGTTGCCTGACGAGCAACCCGTTCAGTTCCACACGTTTGTCATAACCATTACCATCTTCCACTGTGATGTAGCGATGGCTGTTTTTCCACTCGATAGACATATCCAAACCCATCGCAGCGTCGTCCATAGTGGCATATGCAACAAGAGCACGCGCCAGCTTCTCCGGCTCGTGATGAATGTTGAACTCGCCCGAGCTATACGCGCCAGAGCGATCGTAAATCCACAGCTCCATTGTCGTAGCCCTGATGGTGAACGCGTGCACAAAACGGCGCATTGGTTGGTCCGCAAAGATGCTTCGAACATGTCGCGTTATTTGCAACATGCATGCTTTGAAGTCCGTAGTGGCATAGGACCGTTTGTGCTCCCCAGCGACTAGGACGTGTTTGTACTCAAATCGGCCTTCCGTTCGTTTCGGCCTCTGGAAGAAGATGTCCATCTGGCCCTTCCGCTCTTTGAACTCAGTCGCGCTTTTGTTGGTATACAGAATATATTGCGCCCCGGCCAAGGCTTTCTTCTCTAGCCCCCGAAGCCAGTTCCACACAGGTGTTTCCAAAGGGTCAGCCGGGAAGTCCTTCCATTGTGTTCCGTCGTGATCTGTGAGCATCAACTTGAGTGAATTTTCCTGAGACTTGGTCCAGTTTGCTTTATCGAAGTGCTTTTCGAAAAAACGGGGCACTCCCCTATGGGTGCAGTCCCTGATTTCGTAAAACAGCTCGCGCTCAACGATCTCGCGCGTCTCGCTGTCTTCGAGCCGGCTGGAGCTTGTTTTGACTGGCGTTCCACGACCCGTGGGAATAATGCTCGTTGGCGGAGGTGTGGACGGGTTGACAGCGTCTATGAGATTGATGATCGCGGTCCAGATGTCGGTGTCGGGAGAGTCAGTGGCGACGGCGTTGGCAAGTGGGCGGAAATGGTCGTACTCGAGTGAGCCTCCTCGGACTTTTTGCGGTATGGGAATCAGCCTACCTGCCACATTGCTATTTCCATCTGACAAATGGAGGTTGAATGCTGCAGAGGATCCAACCAAAATGGACAGGACAGTGGCGATATCGCTGCGCCAAGTGTCTTTAGATCCATCTAAATGACACAACTTGTCCGAAAAACGGGAAAGCGAGTCATCAAGTGGATAATCCGCGATCACCTTGAGCTGTTCCTCGGTCAGCGACATTTCGAGACGGCTGATCGTGTGTGCGTTGGACTCGTGGAACAGGATGTAAACGGATGAGAGACGCGACAGGTCACGTGTGCTCTACTGGGGCGGGGGTAGCAGGCTCCGCTCGACGGTGGGTGTTGTGATGGCGGATAGCGAGAGGAAAGGTTGAGGGGGATGGCGATTTTATAGCTCAGCGCGCTCGTGAAGCAGGGCTTATGGGTCATGGGAGCGAGCTTCGATGACATGTTGTGGCCCCAGTCTACGGATACCCAGCTCGACGCATTGCAGGGACAGGGAAAGCGACAAGGCTGACGGAACCGAGCAATCGCATTTGTTCGATGGAGGCTTGGATTAGCTACTGCAGGAGACTGTTCATGACTGTTCGTTTAAGACCCCTTCATCAAGGCAACAGCTGCGGGTAGTATCAGCGGCTTCACATCGAAATTAAGTTGCGACGTCTTGGCAGCCGTTTCGTCTTGATGTTCAAGCATAGTCACTGTTAAGTGGTGGAAACCGCCGTAGGCTTATGGCACGGAGCCCAAAGATGACCTCCGCCAACCGTGGAAGTACAGATTACGATTTGACCATTAGTGTAATATAAAGCTGAAACGAGTCGCATGCTCTGCATCTTCCATTATGGTGTAAGAAGTGGCGGTTACGGGAGATTTTCATCTTCAACTTCAGTTCGAAATCTACCTATAGTAACTAGACTTACTCACACGATTAGCGGAATAGCGGAATAGCGGACTTACTAGCGGAGCTCTCGTAGCGCAGCTCTAGTAGCGCTCCACCCCCGCAATCTTACAAGGGTTGAGGAAA